CTCTCTCTGTGTGTCTCTCATGAATAAATAAATAAAATAAACAAACAAAACAAAACAAACCCAACTACAGCTAAATGGATAGGAAGAATGTGGCATGTCCATACGCTGGAATATTATTTAGCCATAAAAGGCATGAAGCACTGATTCATGCTACAAAGTGGATGGGCCTTGAAAACGCTATGCTAAGTGAAAGAAGCCAGCGGCCGAAGACTACATACTGCGTGATTCCATGTATATGACATGTTCGGAACAGGCAAATCCCTAGAGACAGGAAGTAGATTGGGGGCTGGGAGGAGGGAGCCATGGGGAGTGCTCACTTAATGGGCACTGGGCTTCATTTGGAGGTGATGAAAGTGTTTTCATCTACAATGAGGTGGCAAGTGGCACAACATCGCCAATGTACTAAACGCTGCTGAGTTGTACATTGTAAAATGCTTCATTTTCAGGTGCCTGGGCGGCTCAGTTGAGCGTCCAGGTCAGGATCTTGGGGTCCTCAGATCGAGCCCCATATCAGTTTCCTTGCTCTGCAGGGAGCCTGCTTTTCCCTCTCCTGCTCCCCCTACTGTGCTCTCTTTCTCTCTGTCAAATAAATAAATAAAATCTTTAGAAAAGGGATGCCGGGGGTGGGGGTGGGGGGGAAATCCACTATATAAAGTTTTAAAAAAGATTTACCTGAAGAGGAATGAAAAATCTCAGCAATGAGCAAAATATCAAACAGGGTCTGCTTAGAAGTTCTGGAGAAATCTTAAGTCTTCTCCAATTTCCTTGGTATTTTTATAGACATAGGAATGTGTCTGGGGACCCCTGGGTTTCAGTGGTTGAGCATCTGGTTTTGGCTCTGGACACAGTTCCAGGGTCCTGGGATGGAGTCCCACATTGAGCTCCCCGGAGGGAGCCTGCTTCTCCCTCTGCCTGTGTCTCTGCCTCTCTCTGTGTCTCTCATGAATAAATAAATCTTTTTTTAAAAAATCCTTTAAAAAATAATAAAATGGTTCATTTTCTGTTATGTGAATTTCACTTCAATTGAAAACAAGTACAAAACAATTTCAGGAGGGAGGTAATTAGGAAAATCTTGTCTGAATACTGGGCAAAGGGCTGAGCAGGGCCGGCGGGCAGGGAGGGATGGAGAGCCTGCAGGCAAAGCTCTCTGCACAGGAATAGGAGCCTGCACAGGGCAGGTTGCCCCCAAATCTGACTCTGCAGCATAGTGATTATTTTGAATGAAAGTGACTTAAGATGCAGCCAGTGCAAAGAGGACACTCTGACCCTAAGAGTGGGAAATAAATTCTTGGTGCAGGGTACCCTCCCTGAACCAGGGGAAAGAGAGGCATCCTTATCACCAGAGAGGAAATTCAGGGCCCAGGAGGCCATGTGGACAACCCTTGTGGCATCTCTTCTAATTGGTTTGGCAAGTCCAAACCCCTTGCTCTGGTCAATTCTCCACAAATGTGTCGTTTGTCTAGAAGGTATAAAAAAGATGCCTGCTTTGGGCACTTCTTTGAATCTCTTACTTCTGTGGGCTCCTGTAAAATATTAAATTTATTTTTTTTCCTGTTAATTTGTCTTGTGTCAATTTAATTATCAGATCAGCCACAGAACCTAGAAGAGAGGGAAATCAGTGTTTTCCTGTCCTTGCAGCTATGACTGAGGACATGACCATATAATAATAAGGGGCAGGTTATTAGCAAATTCTAAACCTTAAGGATGACAATGTTTTGGAGACATGAAAAATCGCAACTCGCTTTCATTCAAAGTGTCCTCTGGGTTCCCCTGATTTCTGTGCCTTGAATATGAACGTTTCCATTAAGATTTCTGTCATTTGGGGCAGCCCGGGTGGCTTAGTGGCTTAGCGCCGCCTTCAGCCCAGGGCCGGATCCTGGAGTCCAGGGATGGAGTCCCACATGGGGCTCCCTACAGGGAGCCTGCTTCTCCTTCTGCCTGTGTCTCTGCCTCTGTGTGTGTGTGTCTCTCATGAATAAATTAAGTCTTAAAAAAATATATTTTATTTTTCAAATAATCTCTACACCCAATGTGGGGCTTGAATTTACAACCCCTAGATCAAGAGTCACGTTCTCTGACTGAGCCAGCCAGGCACCCCAATATTTCTGTCACTCTAAGGGGAGTAGTTGGAAAGTCCAACCGTACAAGGATTCTTTTTTTTTTTCCAGACCTGGGCTGAAGGCAGATGCTCAACCACTGAGCCACCGGGGTGCCCCGGTGCAAGGTTCTATACTGTGTGCTGTCCCACTGGTTCTCTCCCAAATTTCTTTATGTCAACTCCTGAAGTTCACTAAACAACTTGCTCTTAGCTCTTTCCAGTCCCCACAAAACTTGCCATCCATGTCTTAGTTTTTTGCACAGCCAAACAAGGAAGGAGAACTTCCTATGGAAACCTTAGCCCACTCTGAACTTAAACTGCCCCCCTGAAAGGGGGACTGCCATAAAAAAAAAAACTAAATTGTACACAGTATCCACTTAGCCGTCAGGTGCCAAGGCACACATGCGGCACACATGCGGCACACATGCAGCAGGTTGTGAGGCAGGGAGGGCTGTTTGGGTCTGTACTTGGTAAATCTTCGCTTACAGTTTGCAAGGTGGTCACTGGTGCTGTAGCTGGTCTAGGGGAAGTAGTTGGAGAGAGAATATAGTGTGTTGGTTGGGTGCTCTTTGCTGCTAACAGCAAGGTATGCCAAGAAGGATGCTCCTGGGGAAATGTGCTGGTTTGAGAACCGAAGTCAGGCATCTCGGGCTTCCTATGTTAAAAAACGAAACTGCTTCTGTGCACCCCCAGCAAGAGATGAGGATGAGACTCACTCTCAGCAATGCAGGCCTATTCAACAGCTGGATTCGGCTCAGGGTAGCATCGGACAGATGTGGCCACCGTTAAGTCGGGGCGGAAGGGGGGTGGACGGGGGAAGAGACAGGCAGGGGGCAGAGCAACAAGGAAATAAAGCAGACTGTAAAGTGCTGGAAAAGAACTTTGGAGGCGATCATAGGCACAGATAGCTGAGAAGCCTAAGTGTTTGAGGGGATCGTTGTGAGGAATCGCAAGCTTGTAAAAATAAGTAAAAGTCTGGGGCTGGCCCCTAAACTTGTACCAGGCAGGAAGTACACTGTGAGTTGCACAACTCCCAAGGACGCTGCACCCCAACCCCTACTAGCAGGGTGGCCAGGGAGAACTGGGCTCAGAGGGTAGGAGGGCTCAGCAACCACTCTCCCCATCTGCCAGGACGGGGGTGGAGCGGGGGTGTCTTCGTGGTGCCTGCCCAGCAGTATCCCCTCACTGGGAGCACAGCAGCTTCTGTGTGCCTGCTTCTTTTTCCCAGTGGGAGTTTCTACTGCAGCTGTCTGGCCTCTGAGTCCCTACGGATTGGGTGCCAGGGGGTCAGGGGGAGAGGGTCAAAGTTCTAGTCATGGGGCTGGTCCCCAAGGAGCCATGCTGCACTGACTCCAGGCAGGACACAGGAAGTGCGTAGGAGAGGTTCGGGGTGAGGTGCACAGATGAGGAGGAGCCTCCTGGGCACATGGGAGGTTATTACCCAGCCTCCTTTGGAGTCAGGTTGTGGGTCTATGACTTGTCTGGTTACTGAAGCAGAAGCGACAGATGTGGCTTGCCCTGAGGCCTCCTCTCCTTCCCTCCTCTGGCCATCCGCTGCAGGGACTGTGGACTGTAGATAGCAGTGTGACCTGTGGGGAGTTGCTCCCAGGGCCTACGGCCGTGCTGTGGCTGCAGAAATGTTTCTGGACTGAGCCACTGACACCGGCAACGTTTGCCATCACAGAGTCTGACTTCACAGAGGCTGTCTCCCTGCGAAGAGGGCACATCTGGCTGTGGGGAGAGAACACCCAGAGTGGACTGGCCACGTTTCCATGTCTTCATTCCCAGTCTCCTTGGCGGAACGTGAGTGGCAGTGCCAGGGGCCAATCCCCAGACTCTGTGCACTGAACCCTCCCAGATATTTCCCTCCACGCCCACTCCCCTTCGGAGTGGATGGATATGTCCCAGGATGCTCCCGAATGCTGCACAGCTAGCTTCCAGCAGACAGACAGCAGAGCACCCCCCCCAACCCATTCCCCTGCCCAGTGTTAGGTGAGCAAGAAAGTTATTTTGTGTTCGAGAGCCACAGTATATTTTTGGGTCTATTTATTATAGAACTAGCATTACCCTAATACAATCATCGCTAAATGGCCATAATACATTTATTCTATAATTGCACAGAATTTTATTCACCAAAGGAATGTCCTTTCCTCTCAAGATTCTAAGTTTTCAGAACTGCAATGTTTAGAAGTTAAAGTGGCTGCAAGGCAAAGGATAAAACCAGTGCGAGGTAGTTGCTAAAGTTGGCGGTAGTGTGGTTGTCAAGAGCTGGAGCTCAGAGGTCAGATACCTGGGCGTCCCACCAGCCGTCCCACCTACATGCAGTACCCTCCTGACTCCCCAGCTGTACAGTGGGATGCTGGCCGGCCTGCACCTCGGCGGGGGTCAGCAAACTGCGGCCCACAGGCCAGACTCAGCCCGTGGCCTATTTCTTCACAGCCCTCAAGCTGAGAAGGTCTTCTATATTTTTGAGAACAGAGAACATATGACCGACCTTATGTGGCACGCAAAAAAGATTTACTACCTGGCCCTACCTTAGAGGGTTGCTGCGAAGAGTCTAGTTTAGGCCAGTGCTGGCTCAAAGGAAGCTTGCAATACAAAAGAACACATGCAATACAACTGCTGACGTCTCCAGACATAGACTGTCACAGAGCCAAATTCTGCATTTTGTCTAGGTGAATTATTCTCTCCTTTCCTCCAGAACACAAACAGAACAACATGAAGAGCTACATCTTGATTATTATGGCCACAGGATACTTCTAAATTAAAAAGCTGCTGGTCATCCAATTTTATTTACTTGCAATACGGAGCAAGGAAAACGAGTATTTCCCTTCCGATGGTAGAAGAAAGCCTAGAGCATGAACGTTGGACTCAATTTAATCTGTTAAGAAAGACTGAGACATTTTAAAATCAGAACAAGACTTTAAGTAGACATTAGAAAATGTAAAACTTATTTAGCAACAGTATTAATGCTGGTTTTCACGATAAAACAATTTTGCTGTGTAAATGCACTTACAATGGAGATCTATCATGAGGTTTAGGGGAGAACACATGAAGCCAACCTTTCAAAATCCAATTAGATGGAAGTTTCCAAACGAGACGCTTGGCCAAACCAGTCTGAGGCCAACGAAGACTACTTTTGGATATAACTGATGTTTCCCAAAGTGCGTCTGCAAAACATTGGACCTCGGGGATGCTGCGTGTGTGTGCCGGGGAGGAAAGTTCTAGGGTCTAAGAAGTAGGGAAGACACGGCACATACATTCTCCTCTCATAAAGTCACAATGCACAACAGCACATTCAAAGGCTGAGACCCATTGTGGGGTAGGACGTGGGTGACTGGCCCATGTCGGGTCCTCTCCACATGGCACCCAGCAGCGTCACAAAGAACGGGTGTGGCATGTCTCGCAGCTATCACATCGTTACCAACGCGTTGAGAACCTAACATTTCTCAAGGCGCCTGCCCTTCTCAATTTACAACACATAGTGTAACATCAGTGACAAGCTGCAACGTTTGCGTTTCAACCATTCCTAGCCAGCTAACAGAACTGACCTTTGGCAGGAACCTACAGAATAAAGGTGCCCTGTGCGCTTACCAATGTTAAGAAAAATTCAATAGAGCCAATTTTGTCATGTTTGGATCAGAAGAGAAGCCAGAGACACTCTGCTGTTGTCAAGGCCGGGCTTTCTGTTCCGAAACGAAATTGGGCAGGCCACTTGTGTGGTTTCTCTGGGTTAAGTTCCATTTATTAATCATTGTACAAAAAAATCTTGGCATTCATTTGAAGAGAAATTACTATGTCCAAATATTTAATATTTTAACATTGTGAAAGTTCTACTTTGTTGTAACAGGGCTTTTTAAAATGGAGAAACTTTTGGAAAAAAATTTAAAAAGAAACTTATGATTTATTAGAGTACAGGAGATCCAAAACACGTTTTTAGAAAAATATAAAGTGCCCAAATACCAACTTACACAGGTGACACAGGCTTCCTGGAGCCAAATGAAGCATTCATGAAGAAACACATTTAAAAACGGTCTAGATACATATTTACATTGGGTCAGTAAAGGTAAAACCATCCTTCTTGGCTTTGATGTTACTCTAAGGAAATAGGAAATCAAACCAGAAAACCAGCAATTATGACTCAGCATGCTCCAGTTTCTTAGTAATGCATCTGGTTAGTATTACCTCCAGATTAACTAGTTCTCACCTTTAAACGAAGAGTAGTGTTAAGACCCCTGGCCTCAGCAGGCTGGGTGCTGGAAGTGGTCACATTTCCCAGGCAGATCGAAACCCTCAGGCTCTGGATCTGACTGACTAGGGATGTGGACCCTGGCGAGAGCTAACTCAGGCTGGCAGGAGCCGGCCGGCCGGACCCTCACCTCTAATAACTGCTTACCAACCAGCAGTTACTACTAAGTGGTCTCGGGTGGCTGCCCCAAACCTCAGTAATCCCAGGGCTTCCAAGGGGTAAACGAGAGGCGGTCATCAAATTAGGCATGGAAAAACAGCATGCAAACGCACAGAAGGGTGGTGAAGCTGGGCTGGATCACAGCCCCTGAGGCCTCACTCACCAAAGCAATTGGGTTCTTTTCAACTCCGAAAGTAAGGAGGTCCTAACTCCAGAAGTTAGCTTCTACTGGTTCACTATGAATGAACTAGCTTGCTCGAGAATGGGCAGGTGGAGTGGCAGGCATCTGGAGCCGTGCAAGGACCTGGTGGCATCCTCAGGACAGCGGTGCTTCAGGAAGGCAGGACGACACCCCTATCGCCTTCCCTGCTGATCGAACGCTCTGCACGGTTAAAGACGTTTTACTTGTTTTTCCACCCGCCACATTCAAAATGGTCTTAGAGTGTTTCTAAGGGATGATGGGGGCATGGAAACTCCTCTTTCCGTTTTAAAAAACTTACAAGTTTCATTATATTTTTCTGATTACAAAGGTGAGAAACCTTCTCGGGTCTTTGCGAAGACCACAGCGTACAGTTTCTAAAAGCAAACATTTTAACAACAGATTGTACTTCCTACTGTAAAGAGAACCCATCACTGACTTAAGATCTATTCATGATACTGCAATGACTTTTAAAATTAAAAGGAAATAAAGTAGTTATTTTAAAGGGAGGAATAGATGAACATGGAAAAATCTGTCCATAAAGGCCATTATTATGCACTTGCTCAGAAGACTTTATGTAATGAAAGAGAAAACTAAGGATTTGTAGAGAGATGAGCATAAATCTGAGAGGGACACGGAAGGAAAAGCTATGCCATTCTCCCAACTCAAATAAAACGCCTGAAATCTGTTTCATGTATTAGGACAGATAAACGCAGATGATTCTGACTACCATTAGTCTGTTAATGTCTCCATCTCTCAGATGCAGCCACATCACTCACAGAGTCACCTCTGAAATAAGCAACTGAATTCAGGGTAAAATGACAAAGCAGCCCTACTCAGGACCGCACGCGTCCCGCAGAGAAAGTAGAAAGAAATTATTGCCAACATGGAAGCCCCCTCTGTCTGGCAAGTGAAATGTTCTGAGACAGGTGGAGACAGACGTACAGGAAGTGAGCAGGAAGGATGACTCTAAGAGTGTGGACTGTGAGACCTCATGAAGACAGAATGTCACGAACTGTCACCACAGGACAAGCACACAAGCCATGCCACTGAACACAGTGCCGTCAAATGAATTCACTAGTGTAGGCGGAGAGCAACATTGTCTTTGCGGCTGGAGGAGAGCACACGTTATTTAAAGTTGGTAGGAGGCAACCAGGGCTACTGGTTAAGTGGCTTTCCTGGTGGTGTGAATCCAGAGGGATCCGTGGAGACGTCTTCTTCCGGAATCCTGTTCTCCTGGAGGACAGCAGCAGCAAAGGCGCAGTGTCCTCTACTAGACGTTACTCTACGTCCTCCTTCTTCGCACTGTAAATATTCTGCACCGTTTCGTACACAGACTCCAGGTCCTCTGGATACCGGATTTCTAGCTCCGCATTCGGGATGTAGTGAGTGCCGGTAAACTCTGAGAAATAGCGTCCAACATCAGGGTGCGAGATTTCTTGAGGCTCCACGTTATATTCCAAGTTTTCTGTTGGCAAAGAGGCACACGGACATTGCTGTTAAAATGGACATTTCTGCAGCATTTTTAATCCAGAGAGCTTCCTACCTCTCACCCCTTTCATGTGGTGTATTTGACATGGAGGAAAGGGAGAGACGTGTTTACGGAATCTGGAAGAGGTAACAGGACAGCATCAGTGGGGGCCCCACCAGCTCCACACTGAACAGAATGTTCTCCTATTCTCTGACCAAGAGGTCAGCCCCAGCAAATCTTCAGCTGCCTCCGGGGGCGCTGGCAAACTGCAGACCCACCATAGTCCTCTGACTTGATTGCACCAACAGCCATGCGCATGGGACCCAGGCATCCAAGCCTGCCTGTTGTCTGCTGCAGCTCCACACCATGGGGCTCCAAGTCTCGACCCGCCATCCTCCTTATCTGCTAACAGAGTGCTCCCAATATAGACCACACTTCTTCCTGCCCCCCGCCCGGGCTCCCTTCAATACTGGATGTGTGCTTCTACAGGCGAGCCACTTGGGGCTCCATGAGAGGCCGGGGGAGGAGCTGATGAGCGGCTCGCACCTCCGACCTGTGCAGATGTGGGTTATCACTACTTGTATTGTCTCCTAGGAAACCATGCTACCTCCTCACCATGCTAGCCACTCCGCCACCAGAGAAACAGGAAACTCCTTCAAAACAGAATGACTAAAACAGATGACAATCCAGGCAAGGTATTTACAAGGCTGAAACCCTTTCAGATCAGGTGTCTCCAAAACACCTTGAAAAGCGGCTCTCCCAAGGGCCCAATGAAAGGAGAGTGTCTTGAGCCCTCCATCCAGAAGCCAAGCCATGTTCCCCACGACCTGGCACCCTCCCGCTCTGACTAGGGACCGTGGCAGTCTAGGTTCCGACCGACAGAGCCACATTCTGCACAGCCTTTCACTCACGAGAGTCCCCATGCAAGCCTAGCCGATGGCCTCACACACAGTACAACCAAGGGTCCCTCAACAGCTTAAACATCCTGACATGGCCGTTCAGCCCATGTTTCTCCTCTCCACCCAGAGGCCGTGCATCCCCAGCATCCCCAGTATCAACAGAGCATCTTTCAGAAGCACTGACTTGGCCTCGTGTTGGGAGAGGGGGAAGGAGCTGCATGATTCAATCTGTAACTTTTTTTTTAAACCACAAGATGGGAAGGGATTTGAAGAAAATTTGTGCTAACAGACTGCAGTTAGGTGAACACACTCAGGTGTATCAGGTCTGTGTTTGATACATACAAACCATGTGCAAAGAGGGACGCCATGAGACCATCTTAACCTCACTTAACGAGTAAGAGCACTCCAAATGACCCATGCAACTCACTGTGGTCACCACAGCACATGAATTCCTCCAAAGACAGGCAGTCAGGAAAATGAGTGGCCTGTTTCCCACATGCTGCGAGGAAGAGGTGGTCAAAGCCCACGCTGCTGGACGGTGAGCCTGGAGGCCACATAGTGGGGCTGCTCCGTCCACAGTATGGAGTCTTGTTGGACACTTACATCATGCTAGCCACCGTGGCAGCCACTGTGGCAGCGGCCAGGCTCTGGCTCCCAGCTCATGTACACCATTCTCCAGGGGGCCCCTGTCACCATTCCCATCTGCAGCTGACACAGCTGGGACATGGACCGAAAGCCCTGGCCCAAGAGGCAACCAGGATCCAAACCCAGACAGTCCCATTCCAGAAGTGAAGGTGTCAGAGTAGGAGACACAGCACAGAGGAGGGGCAGGGACTCAGGGATAGAGGTGAGGGGACAGGCCTGAGGGCCCATGGCAGCCCTGAGGGGGGAGGCCCCCCTGGCTGACGGTGCTCTGGGGACACAGCAACCCAAGGTTCTCCAAAAGGAAGACTGAGCAGTCTGCGGCCCCTGACAGCTCCTCTTACGTACGGGATCTCTGTGGAGAACTTTATCTCCTTCCCAGTGTACACATTTCTAACGCTGCTACTGGCAGGCATATGGGGTATAGCCACAGCCTGGTGCCCTACCCAGGGCAGCTGCTGATGGCCTCGGGTTCCCTTGCAGGGGAACGCAAAAGTATGACATGGAGGGTCTAGACTCTGGAAGATACCACCAAGTGGCAAAAAAAAGCCCCTTTGCTCTGAAGGGACCACAACTGCCTATTATTAGTAGGCAGGATAGAAATATTTAAAAAGAACTCAAATGGGTAACTCAGAACAACTGTTCTGTTGCTAGTGTGTCAAGAGCAGTGGTTCTCAACCGGGTGCTACTGTGCCCCTGGCAAACACTCAGAAATATCTGAAGGCACATCTGGTTCTCACAGCTGGGGGCTGCCACCGACGACAGGTGGGAGGCGGCCAGGGTCGCTGCTAAAGAAATGCACAGGATGTGTTCTCCACCAAAAAGAACTGTCTAGACCAAAATGCTGACAGTAACAGTAACCACTCTAAAGAATTCAGAGGTCTGTTTTAGCATTATTTCTCCCTTCCCCTCTGTTTTTCTGCGTATTAAGCAGCAGCTCCTGAATACTGAGAGGAAAGAAGGGTCAAGGTCAGGTTTTGATCACAGATCTGGAAGGATAACGTGAGCCTGTAGTGGCTGCACAGAATTGTGTGTGTGGGCCCAACGAGAGGCATGAAAACACAGACAGAATGTCCGGGAAGTCACAGGAGGGGACGGCGCAGTCCAAGGGAGTGCCTGTGGTCCCACATTTCCCTACCTGCCCAGGCTCCTAACAGAACAGGAAAGAAAGTTCAAAGCGATTTATTTTTGAGAGGGAGAGTGTGTGCAAGCATGAGTGGGGGGAGGGGCAGAGGGAGAGAGAGAATCCCAAGCAGACTCCCTGCTGAGCTCAGAGCCTGATGTGAGGCTCAATCCCAGGATCCCGAGATCAGGACCTGAGTGGAAACCAAAAGCTGACGCTTAACCAACTGAACCAACCAGGCACCCTGATAAAAACGTTTCTGAGGAGAAAAAAATAATGAAGATGGTGACTGTGTATTAAGAGGGGGAAATCCACTAAAAAGTTTAAAAAAGGATTTATCTGAAGAGGTAAAATCTCAGCAATATAAAACTTAAGTGAGCAAAGTATCAAACAGGGCCTGCTTAGAAGTCCTGGAGAAATCGTCAGTCTTCCCCAATTTCCTTGACTTTGTTTTTTTAAGATTTTATTTATTTATTCATGAGAGACACAGAATGAGCGAGAGGCAGAGACACAGGCCGAAGGAGAAACAGGCTCCACGTAGGGAGTCCAATGGGAGACTCGATCCCAGGACTCCAGGATCACACCCTGGGCCGAAGGCAGGCACTAAACCGCTGAGCCACCCAGGGATCCCACCTTGACATTTTTATACACATAGAAATGTGTCTGGGGACGCTGGGGTGGCTCAGCAGTTGAGCATCTACCTTCAGCTCAGGGCGTGATCCTAGGGTCCTGGGATCAAGTCCTACATCGGGCTTCTCGCAGGGAGCCTGCTTCTCCCTCTGCCTGGTGTCTCTGCCTCTCTCTATCTCTCGTGAATGAATAAATAAAATCTTAAAAAAAAAAAGTGTTGTCTGTTTATTTTATTTTAAATATTCAGCTACCCAAGAGCACCTAGCTGGCTCAGTTGGTAGAGCATGTGACTCAGTATCAGGGTCTTAAATTCAAACCCCACGTTGGGCATGGAGCCTTTTTTTAAAAAAAATTCACCTACCCGTATATTTAACTATATATAAATACAGTTCTATAGAACTGTGGCAAGACCACCTAGAGTTCCCCCTCCCAAGAGGAAATCACTCACTGTGAGTGTATCCTTCTAGTTCTTCTTCTGTGAACATACATAGAAGTAGCTAAAATAACTACATCTAAGGAGAATTTGGTATTTTTTATGTGTGTTTATCTATACAAAACATACTGTAATCATTTGTCGCAACTAGTTTAATTGCAGCTTAGCATTCCAGTTTGGAGACCCCAGTTTACCAGGCAAGTCTTCATGAATGACATCTTTGTCTTATAACAAGAGCACAGACACCTGCATGAGTGCATCTCCAGTGGAGAGACCCAAGAATGGAATTGCTGGGACACAGGAGAATGAGCACTTGAGATATTCACAGTTTAAAACAATCAGCCAGCGTGGCTAGCGGTTGAGCATCTATCTGCCTTTGGTTCAGGGCAAGATCCTAGGGTCCAGGATCGAGTCCCACATCGGGCTCCTTGTGGGGAGCCTGCTTCTCCCTTTGCCTGTATCTCTGCCCCACCCCCTTAGTCTCTCATGAATGAATGAATGAATGGATAGATAGATAGATAGATAAATCTTAAAGAAAAAAATCAGTCACACTGCCATCTGAAATGGCTGAAAATGTATACTCCACTCCCACATGGGGCCTCCGCACACACTTGCCAGTACGTGCAAATTGCCATGGATTGCTCGTAGGTGGAAACGCATTCCTAAGTGTAAGACAAATGATGCAAAGGGGAGCTCATGCTTGGTGAGACATACCATGTACCAAGCATCATTTGAGGCGCTTGCTCATTCTATACGAGACACCTAAGAACTGGATTTTCACATTGCAGTGAATTCCTGGCCTTCCAATATGGGCAGCTAACTTCAATTCAGACCATCTGTGATGTTCACTTTCTGCAGTATCTAAGTACAGGGAAGCTGAGACAGGAGGTGCTGCCCCTCCCTGGTGTACAGAACGTGCCAAAGCATGCCCCCTAGTGGGAACAGGAGTTATACACATGCAAGATGCTGTCTACCACCTTGTTTGGATTTAGGTATAATCTAACCTATTGAGAGAAAAATTCACTTAATTATGCAGACTAATACTATTTGAGGATGTCATGCATGCTTGTGGCTTATAATTCACTCTTCAACTCTCTGTGGAGAGCTTATAATTAGGGAAGCATTCATCAGAGGGATCCACTCAAGTTAATAGGATCACATGAGCCAAAAGCTAAAAATTTAGATCAAGAAAAAGTTTAAAAACAAAGCAATCTGATGCAAATAAATTAACCCAAAAATGTTAAAAAAACATACTTAAATATGTCTGTTTTTTAACATTTTAAGTAATCTCTATACCCAACATGGGGCTCGAACTCACAATCTGGAGGTCAAGAAATGCATTACCAACTAAACCAGCCAGATGCCCCAGTGTTTTTTAAATTGAAATTTAGCCTCTCAAGGTTTCCCACTGGCCAAACATGGGTTAGCCAGAATATAAATTGTCTCAAATGATTTTAACACATTGACTATATAAAAATCCAGGAATTTATGGGAGGAGAAGGGGGGGGGAGAGAGACAGAAGGAGAGGGCTAAGTGGGGAAGGAGAGAGGGGGAGGGTGGCAGGAAAGCTCTTGTTTACAGAAGCAGGGAGAAGAGCAACTGCAGAAAATCACTGTTCTGCAACTCTCGTACAAGAATTTAGGCAAAGAGATTAAACAGATGCTAAAATAAAATGAAGGATCACGGTTATTGGGTAACAGGATATTCCCAGGATGTCACAGTGTTAGTTGCAAAGGGAAAACTGTCCCTCACAAGGATCTTAGCCAAGTGACCAAACTCCACCTACCAGCAGTGGGACATTGAACACTAGGGGCTCTGGAGGAGATGTTGTGTGTCACAAGCACTCTAGCCCAAAATATTAACCTGATCTGATCAAGCCTCCAACTCAGCTTCCAGTCTACAGACAATACAGACAAGGAACCAGTGAAACAGATCCAGAATGTTAGGCAACTTACAAGACCTTTGGCTTGGACACTCTGAAAAGTGAAAGTTACATGAAAAAGGAAGAAAACAAGGTGAGGAATAAGAAACTAACCGGTCTTACTAAGAGAGAACTATGCCTTTAGAGAGGTAGCAACCAAATATGGAATCGTGTGTGAATTCAGTGTGTGAATCCTGGATGGATCATGATGTGAAAACAAACCAAAAGCTATCAAAGTTACTGGGTGACAAGTGGGAAATGTGATCACTGACCAAGTGTATTAGACAGGAGATCAGTCATTTGTTATGTGTGGTGATGTAACTACAGAGAAGATGCAGAGAATGTCTTATTCTTAGAAGATGAGTGATTCAGCATTTAAGTCATGATGTCTGCAATAGTCTCAAACGGTCCAGCAAAAACTGGAAATCTCTATCTACAGATAAAACATATATGGTAAATGCAAACTATTGAATTTAATGGAGGGTGTATGGGGTATTCAATGTTTTGACCATATTTTAAGCCTATCTGAAAAATGCTCTTAATCCAAAGTTGTAAAAAAAAAAAAAAAAAAGTTAGCATGTTACTAACGACACACTATTTATACTCATCTCATTATTTTGCACTTCTATTTGTAAGCTTCTCTGAGAGATGTGAGCATCTACTGGGACTCATCCCCCGACAGGCAGACTGGGCTGTAGCTCTGTACTCACAGAGCTTACTGGCTGAGAGCCAGAGTGCTCAATGGGAAACACTGCCAAAAGGTGTGAGGGCTCAGAAGGGGCGGTGTGTCAGGAAGCATTGAGCAAGGACAGATGACCTGATCTGAGCCCTGTAGGGGAGTGGCAGCAGGAAGAAGAGCCTGTTTGTAACGGACAACCACCTGTGTGAAGACCTACGAGAGGGATGGTCTCCAGGAACAAAGTTCAATCGGCTGGAGTAGGATGGTGGTGGGAACAGAGATGAGGCTGTGAGGGAGGGTCCAGGTCACCTCCAGGCTCTATAGGGGAGTCTGAAAGATGCTGGTGAGAAAGCAGGTACCTGCAGGAAAGGAATGCCTGTGCGCTGGAGGGAGGGGCACCAGGAATGGCCAGCAGCGGATGGAAACATGAGACAGATATTCAGGAAATGGGGTTGGTGTAATCTGCTAACTGGACCGAGGAGGACAGGGAAGGACAGAGAAGTCAGAGATGGTGCTGCAAGAACCCTTGAACCCTCTGAAGACCTCTGAGCACCTTCAAATGCACAGGGCCAGGGCACTTCCTGGACTCTTGAAGCGGCACCCAGCTAGCATGCAGGAGACACCTGGGAAACCATGACCATGGGCTGACAGGACCCCTAGAAGACAGACAGCTCTCATATGGGAATCCTGGCTGCTCAGAGATTTTCTAAAAGTCCTAGAATTTAAAAGTAAAAAAGGTATAACTTGCTAATATTACCCACAATCACTTAGCTTATCTCAGGTTTAGAATGTAAAACTGCAACCAGGTATTAAGTGTAATTTTTTTTTAAGTGTAATTTTTTTTAACAAAGTCATTACCGTATGGTAACTTCTAACTTTACATGGCATGTTTAGTCAGATCTGTTAGGAATGAATTCCTGAATCTTCAACACGGACACCAAAATCAGAACATCTGAAACCAAATACCCAGTTTTATCTACTTTCAAAAGTCCATTTTTAAGTTAATCTAAATGTTTCCGGAGATTCAAACTGGACATCTTAATACTGACCCCACCCAAAGGGCAATGAATGCACACACATGGTGGAGCCGTGGACACTGGCATGCAGTGCTGAGAAAGGGACAGTCCCCTTTGTTCCTGGGATATGCTGTGTGACACAGGAGTAGAAATGCTTACCAACTGATCCATGGGGGTGCAAAGAGTCCACTGAGTCATTCAAGAATTTTTAAATCATTTGTCGGTTTTTAGACATTGTTATTAGTATGATGGTTTGGGTTTGTTTTTTTTTAATTTGAGAGAGCACAAGCGAGCGGGAGGGGCAGAAGGAGAATGAGACAATCCCAAGCAGACTCCACAGAGTGCACAGCCTGACATGGCGCCCAATCCCATGACCCTGAGGATCATGACCTGAGACAAAACCGAGTCAAAAGATCAACCGACTGAGCCACTCAGGCACCCCTATACAATTTTTTCAAAAGTTAGATAAAATCCTTGTCAGCCCTTTCCTCTGACACAGGCACACAAAGACCATTCTCCTACAACTGTCCCATTATACTGACAGAGGTTAAGTAACCTATAATCTCATTGAACAGACTTTCTTTTGATTTTGTATACAATCCCCTCTCAGCTTGATAAATTAACATGAATAGGAAACTTTCTAGTCTTCTTGATACTTCTGAGATTTTTACACATCTGGTATTTCTGTTATTGCCTTCACTACCACAATACTGAGTTAGATCAAACCTACCATTTTAGGTCAGACACAGAAAGGTACGGCAAGGAGTTAAGGACACGTCTCTCTGCCAAGGTGCCCCAGCTTCAAAGTTAGTCTGTTAAGTTAAAATGTGAATGAGCCTACGTGCTTCAGTTCCCTCACATACAACATAAGTATGATGATGAGGATAGTTAGGTATATTTCTCGAATGCGGTTAAAATACATTAGGACACTGCCTGTCACAGAGAAGCACTAGATTAACATTCATGGTTTTTTTTTTTTTTTAAAGTTTGTTTATTTTTTAGTAATCTCCGTGCCCAACATGGGGCTCGAACTCGCCATGCGAGATTAAGAGTTACATGCTCCGGCAGCCCGGGTGGCTCAGTTTAGCGCCGCCTTCAGCCCAGAGTGTGATCCTGCAGACCCAGGATTGAGTCCCATGTGGGGTTCCCTGCATGGAGCCTGTCTGTCCCCCTGCCTGTGTCTCTGCCTCTCTCTCTCTCTCTCTCTGTCTGTCATGAATAAATAAACAAAATCTTTAAAAAAAAAAAAAAGTCACATGTTCTTCCAAATGAACCAGCCAGGTGTCCCTCACTCATGTTCATTTTGACTAACAAAATGAAAGCTGTGAATGCCTTGACAGGCAGCCATGCAATAAATTCATCCCACTAAAAGGAGGAACAAAGAAAAGGGAGACCCACGCTGGAGGCATTTGTCTCTAATCAGCCTCTGCAGGCTCCAACCGTCCTACTTCAGGAGTGCCCTGGACTAGCGCCTATCAGGGCTGGCAGTGGCCCCAAACACCACCAAGTACCTGCTGACCATCAAGGCTCTCTCAGAGCCAGTGCTGTGGATTGTGGTTCCCCTTGTGGCCACTCTAGGACATCTCTGGGGCTGCACAGCTGGCTATGGATGCCGGAGGCAGCTAGGGTAGTCCCCACAACAGTGTCCTCCAGTTCAGACAGGCATATGGGCAGGGCACAGGCTGGCCCTCACTGCCTGGAGGGAGCCAATGGTAGGGCTTGGGAAGCATGACTTTTGGGAACTTGACAGGCAAAGGCAATGACCAATCAGAACAGAGGCTGGCAACAACACTGGAACAGGGTCCTGGGTGTGCGGGTGATGGAGGGAAGAGTCTGAAGGCGGGGACTATTTAACCCACTGCATGGCCACACAGGGGCACACCTACCCATTTAGCTGAGAATTGGCCCTGATAAGGTTAGCCACATAACTGCCATCTCTAAATAAAACTAGTGACTGTACCCACAATATCTGAACACTCAAAATGTGTGCTAAGATGTGCCGGCGTGTCATTATGAATACACACAGAACTAGCTCCTTACCTTGGGCTGCATATCTACAAGAACCGTCCTCCACCAGAACGTTATAGAAAGGCTGATGATGGCCATGAGGCAGGCTGTGGACGTTCATGTTTCGGATCCATTCGTGTCCCATCATGCAGGTGGGGTCCCAACCATAGATCACACAGTTATAGCCATACCTAATCAATATAAGAGCAGTGGCAAATCAGTTCCCTGGGACCCTGTCACGGAGACTCTGGGATATGTAAGTAATGGCTTGGTTCTCTTAAGGTCATGGTCCTTACAAATTTACCTGCTTTTATCCCTATTAAGCATTTTTCAGGACACTCTTGGCTCCCTTTATAAGCCCCTCTTATTATTAAGATACCACTTCAGTTGGAAAAGAACAGACTTCAACCGTCATGGGACAAGTAGTTATCCAAACAGAAAAGGGTATTGGTACCCAGGCCTGAGAGCAATGCACAGTATCTTAGTAGGACAAAGGCCTATATATAAAACATAGAATTCCTGAGATAACTTCATGGAATAGGACAGGTTTAAGATTCCTCAAACCAGGGACGAAAAACAGTCCATAAAGGCAAAGAGTACTCAAAGGAGTCAGATCTAAGCAGACTGTTAAAAAAAAAAAAAAAATACAGAGCAACAGGAATTGTGACTACATCGATATGATGAGGTGAAGAAATTGTTTTTCCTTAGATACTACAAGAAGATAGTAAACATACTTTTAAAAAATATAGCAAGCCCTTACCTTTCAGGTATACATACTGCAAGGGGCTTGGGTAAGGATAGGGGGTGAAAATGTGAAGGCTGACCCTCACAACTGCTGGAGCTGGGTATGGGAGCATCGCCTGGTTCACTATACTCATCTCCACTGACATGTATTTGAAATGTCCATAATGAGGTTGGAGAAAAAAAAAAAAAAGAATGCAATAAAAAAAAGAAAAACACTAGCCCCACACTGGGACAAGATTATTTGCAACGTATATGCATAGGGATACTAGTAGCAGGACAAGGAGACCACAAACCAACAAGACAGACAAATAATTTGGGTAGAAAGTAAGAATTTGAAGAGGTACTTCAGAAGAGAAAACCTGAATGAAGTTCTTTTTTGTAGGTTTACTAGTCGATCTGCAGACTAATCGGGAGAATGCAAACAAAAATCACAATGAAATACTATTTGCCATTTGCTGTTTAAGAGCACTTTCAAAGGTGTGGCAAGAACACGGGTGGGTGAGAACAGGAACCCTGCAACCCTCGGCTCCTAGCCTGCGGAGTGGGACAGAAATCACAGGGTCACTGTGGTTATGGTTTAATTTTGCCTAGCAACTGACCATGCACATGCCTATAACCCAGCAAACCCTATCCACAACCCAGATTCAAGGGGATGGAAATGAAAAGAAGCCTCAGGGCAACAAGAAAATGAGAGAGAAAATCTGCTGCTTACAGATCTTACATTAGAAGATTCGCAGTTAGGAAACTGAGTCCCTTTCTTAGGAAACAGCGTAGAATTGGTTCAGACTGGTTCAGCCTTCAGTCGCTTCTGCGGCAGACACTCAGATGCCATGGCTCCTGAGAAGCGTGCTTGCAGGCACACCACGCATCCCCTGCAGTGGTGCGGGGATGGACTCCACAGGCACTCACCTCTTATGCTTCATAATGAGCCCAATGGAGTAGCAGACATCTCTGTGCTTCTCATGGGAGCGCAGCTTCACCTCCACGCCCACCTCCTCCTTCTTGCGCTCAATGTGCTCTAACGTGTGCTGCACCAGATAGCCCACCGCCCCATGCTGCCCGGGGTCTAGGGTTTGAATGTGCTGGAGGATGTCAAGCACCTTCAAGACAAGACAGAAAGACTAGGAGATAATATTTTCATTTAGGCCTTTTCTTGTTCACAGCATGAGATTTAGCCCTACATAACCTGGCAAAGGACGGCAAGGTGGGGCCATGCTAGTGGCCCAGGGATCCACTGAGTTGGTGGTCTCACTGCTAATGCTGGGCAATGGCCCCAGGCCTCCAAAAGTCAACTGGTAGGAGCATAGGAATTACTTAGAAACGGTGTGTGGGACTAAGCATGGGATGAAGTGGCCCAGGGCCTGCCCTCCATGGGTACATCTGGATTAGGGAACTTTATTTTTATTTATTTATTTATTTTAACACTTCACGAATTTGCGTGTCATCCTTGCGCAGGGGCCATGCTAATCTTCTCTGTATCGTTCCAATTTTATTATATGTGCTGCTGAAGCGACCACTGGATTAGGGAACTTTAAAGGGTTCCAATACTCTTGCTCAGTGTGGGGAATCCATTTTTCGTACCCAGAAAGATGATTTTCATTGGCCACTCATCAACTGGGAGGTAAAAGAACTGCTAAGCTGCTTCAGTCCCAATCAAGGAGACATCTGACAGAGCTGCTTCTGCTGCACAAGGCAGAAGGGGTGACAGAGAAGCCCCCTGAGTGATGCAAATTAGCTATGCTGATGAAGACGTGTCTCAGGTTCTGGAAGCGCACTGATCGCAGATTTCTATGATTGTTAACTCCCAGTGGGACTGTATATTCAAGTGGGCAAGGAGAAACCATCTCTCTGTGGAACTGAAATGACTGAGAAGCTAGCAACAGAACTGTCTGACTCCAAGGTAACAGTTTTCCCTACCGTACATGGTGCCTCTAAGGAAAAAATGCAAATTCCAATAAAGTTTTACACACACACAATCATTCAGCGCCCATTCTACTACAGCATTTAACAGAGGGTCTATGATATGTTTCTCCTGTGAGAATAGGATCTCTCCCTCTTTACTGAGTCCTAAGACAGAGCATGTGAACAGATAGAACCTGGATTCTAGTCCCAGATCCATAACACTGGCTGCTTTACCTTTAGTTTGTTCACTTACCAAGTAATGATTAATAACTGCCCTATTTCCTGATATATTTTGACCCAGTGAAAGTGTTGTGAAAACTGCTTTTTTGCAATGTAGGATGTTACTCTGAAACCTAATTTTGTCCTCCAGATCGAGACTTGTAGGATCTATTTACTGAACACTGCTTCTCTGCTGATCACTATGCCCAGCCCATCATGTCTCCTACTTCATTTAATCCTCCCAAGCTGCAGGTCGGCAGGACCATCAGTGCGGACCTCCAGATGAGGAATCATGCACTGTGGGATTAAAGGTCTGGGGGCTGTGAGTGGAGGGAGGATGTAGACCCGGGTATGATTCTAAATCTGAGGTCTCAAGCACCATCTTACTGAACCAAGAGCAAGAGCATTTTCCTTCACTGTTAGGAATATGGATGGACTGGTATAACCCTAAGCACCTCAAACCCAGCTTCAACCAATAGCAACCGAGAGCCAGTTTCTACCTTAGTAATGGAAACCCTAGTAGTATGCTTTCGTTTGGGGGACACAAACAGTATTTATTCTTTGTAGCTAAGAGCACGGATTTGAACGATGAGCTTCTATTTTCTATGCTTGCATATGGCTTTGTGTTCCCATATGCAGTTCCAGCTACAGCTGATCCTTGAACAACACGGGTTTGAACGGCATGGGTCCACTTACATGAGGATTTTTTCTAGTACAGGACTATAAATCTGTTTTTTCTTCTTTGTGATTTTCTCAGTAATGTTTTCTTTCCTCTAGCTTATTTTGTTCTAAGAATATAGTACGTTTTCACATACAATATATTAATCAATTACTTGCTACCAGTAAGGCCTCTGGTCAATAGCAGGCTGCTAGTTAAGTTCTGGGGGACTCATTAAGTTCTATATGGATTTTTGACTGCACTGGGGGCCAGCACCCCTAAGGCCCAGATTGTGCGAGGCTTGACTGTAGTTATTTTGGATGGCACTTCCCCTCCACTCTGCAGCCACAGCTCCCTCTCTTCCCAGCAGCCCCTCCCCAGCAGGTAAGTGAACAGATGTAACTTGGGAGTCTTCTAAGCACAGAGAAGTCTCCAACTCGCTTTTCCCACTCACTTGGGAGTATCAGGAGACAAGGTTCAGGGATAATTATGGCTTCCTTCCTCTGATGTGTGGATGATAGGGTGAAGGAAGAGGGCAGAACAGCAGACACAATGATAGGGGCCTGGTGTGCTCCTGAAGGACAGCACTGACAGTGGGGTGCCATGATGTCTCCAACCAAACATCCAGGCCAACAATTCCAGGAGCCCACGGTTTTCAGAGTGGAGATCTTGGAACGGAGTAGGGGGTCTATCTACTCATGAGTGGCAACCATTACTGTGAAGAGCCAGAGAGTAAATACTTTAGGCTTTGTGGACCATATAGTGTCCCACCCAACTACTCTTCTGCCTGCTGTGGCTAGAAAGCAGCCAGAGACAAAGAGTTAAACAAACAAGCCTTATTTGAGATGTGCCTTTGACAAAACATTCACAAAGCCAGGTGGCAGTTTGCTGGCCCTGCTCTGTCCTCCTAACTACAGGTTTCCCTGTGGCTCTCTACGATGTGTTTGGCTCCACGTTCCAGATATCCACTTGTCTGTGAGCTTTGCTGCTTTTGGGGCTTCAGTCATCTGATGCTAATGTGCCGAATGCCCTCAGACAGCTGCCTTCCATGGCCCCAGGTCATATCAAGTCCAACATACCCCAAACTGAACACTTTCTCCTGCCCCTGAAACAAGTCTGCTCTCCAAACACCCACTCTTAATGTGGCCAAATGGTCTCCCTCATTGGAAAATCTGGACAGCCTCTCTCTTGTTATCTAATGAAGTTCTGTCACTTCTTAACCATTCAAACTTTTTTGTTTTGAGCACCTACTGTGTCTCAGGAACGGTGTTAAGAGCAAGGGGAAGCACAAAGCAAAATGTGGTCCTTGTTCTTAGAGAGCCTAGTCCATGGCGAAAACACAATAAATAAGCAGTCACAGTATCCTTAGAGAAAGGTCTGCGAAAGGACCAGCACTCAGCTGATGGGGCGGGGGAAGCAGACAGCCCCAGAGGGGCCAAGGAAGGGCTTTCAGAGGCAAAACTGAAGCTCGGTAAAAGGTAGATGGCAAATGGGGCTGAGAGCTAAAGAAAGGTTCTAGGCAGCACTGCGGCACACACCGAGGCCCAAAGCAAGAGAACAGGGCTGAGTGAAGGATGTGGCCAGGCAGCAGAGCACCAAAGGGGCAACTATGAGAGCTGAGGAAACTCAGGCTGGCAGGGTCAGACCCCTGAGAAACTAGTAAACCATACTGAAGAGAATGAGCCTGATCTGCAAGGCACTGGGGTGAAGGCTCTAAGCATTTTATGAAGCTTATTCTGGCTACAGTATGTAAAACGGGGGTTCAAAGGGTCTAAGGGTGGAGGGAAGAGCAGGCGGGTGGCCTCAGCAATAGTCTCAGAGACAGAGCCACGTGCAGATGTGCAGTAGACATTTGGGTACAGTGGTCTGGAGCTCAGGGTCCAGGCAGCTGTAGCGTACAGATAGTAACTGAAGCAAACAGGCCAGCTGGCATCATCTCGGGGAAAGGTGCAGAGGAAACAGAAGTCTGAGAAACTACCCTGCAGTGTGGAGCCTCTAGAGAAGATACACAGGACAAGGAACTAGCAAGAGCCTGAGAACCACAGACCAGAGTCAAAAGAACAGAGCGTTCTGAGCGGGAATAGCCTCAGTGATCAAGAGAGATAAGGAAAGCCAAATATCTATGGATCTGGCAACAAGAATGGTTTCAGTAAAAAGGGGTCACTGGCTCCCTTGGCAAGAGCAGTGTGTATGTGGAGGGGAGGAACAATCCCCATGTTCTGGAGCATGTGTGGGAGGCGAGGCAGGAGGCCATCACAAGCAAGGTTGCACGCAGGCACCCACGCTTGCACAGACAGTCCCAGGGCTTGAGCCCTGCAGGGGAGACAGATAAGGAGGTGGCCGCAGGGGAATGCCTGTGGGGCTGTCATGAGAGTGCCTTCTGTTCTCTTCCCCAAAGATGAGAGATATTCAAGTCAGCAGAATGCTGATGTCAGAGAGCAGAAACAGGGAGTTGTAGACAAAGGAAAACAGAATGGGATCCAGAGCACAAGGGGCTGCCTTGGAAAATTGGTAGGACATTTTCTCCAGTGAGATGTAGAGGAGGAAAAGGAAAGGTAGGGCCATGGGTCAAAATAAGGAGGGAAGTCTGGCTGCAGGAAGCGGAGGGTGCCTGGGTGCTTACAGCCTCCCGTAGCCTGCTGGCCCACAGGGGTGAGGCATGAGGGGGCTTGGGCACCACTCTGCCTGGACACAACTCTTGAGCCATCATCAACATGTGTGCAGGTGGCTTCGGCAGGCTCTCCGACCGCCCGCCACCTCAGCTGTTCCTGACTTACTGCAATTGAAAATAAGGTGACTTTCCCATCCTGCCAGTTTGGGAATGTTTCCCTTTTACCTAAGAAGGCCAAACTATTTCCAAGCCATCCAGAAACTGATCTAAAAAATATTCTACACACACACACACACACACACACACACACGCACACTCGCCTTTACACACAGATGTGTATGTACATCATCAACTCTCGTCAGGCGGGTCCATGGGCCCACTTCTGGGCCATGTGCAGGTGGGAATAACCTACTTTTCTATCCTCTGAAATGGTCCCCACCCTTCAGGGTCCACCACACACCCTGTTCCGGAGAGGAGCCTTTTCCAACTGTTTCAGTGTCCCCTGGACTCTTCCTCCTCAGGAGTCCCAGTTTTGCTGCTCTGCCTCGGGTGTTGCTCCCCCAGCTCAAGGACATGCTTTCGGAGGGGAGCCCCTGAAGCACTGGGACCCAGCCACGTTGCATTCCTGATTCCCCAATGAGGGGGTCACCAAGTGCTCGATCCCAGAAACAAATGAATGGTTGTCCTGAGAAAAATGTTCTGTGTGTAAGCAATTTAGAACTTTAGTGACATCTGCTCAGCAGGCCAGCACTCCTGGATCATCCAAAGGGGATACTGAAGTACTTCCCCAGCAGGCAGGTGAGCACTAAACGGAGTCTGTCATCAAAGGTAAGGGAGTGAGAGCTCCTGCAAACTTTCCCCCAGAGGAGAGGTTAACCTTACACCTTCTGAGGCTGATGTGTAATTAAAGTACAGAATTGACTTATAAAAAGCCATGCTTTGAGAGGGTCTCTGCATTCTACAAATGATCTTGATTAAAGAAAAAAGCAGCAGGAATTAGTTTGTACACCTCAATATCAAAAATAAAGTGAAAAAATAAAAGCAACAATTGAGCTCTGGCAAGAGGGTTTTGGGAAGTAGGTGGTCACTTCAGTAGAGAATCTAGTTCTACCAGAGCACGGGATGTTCTGGGAGGACATCTGCTACCTGGGCTACATATTACATCTTAAGATAGGAGTCTCAGGATTTTCCCCCTAATGCATCCCTTCTTAGAACTATTTTAGACCTCTGAAGTGGGGAATAAAGGAGCCAATTTAAATCTATGCAATGTGGAGTCAGACTATTTACCACTCTAATAACATGAGCAGATGATTTTATGGTGATGTGCCTATGAGTGCTCAGAATGAAAATTCTCTCGGCAGGCTGCTCTAAATAAACAAAATGGATTATTAACATATTCCCATGGAAAATCCAGGGCATGATGGAAATGTGCAGCTGCTGCCGCGCTGTAACACGCCACTGGACTCACACACCTGCTGCCCCCACAACTTGCTAAAAGGAGTGTTTCTGATTGTAGACACTCTGGTCCTCTCCAAGTACTTGCCACTGGCCACAGGGGCCATTAGAAAACTGAGAAGCCCAAGTAGGACTGTATCAGAGTTCAACAGTTTTCAAAGACAATCAGTCCTTAAAGTCCAGCAGGCAGACTGGAATACCATCTAAGATTCATTTCTTGTCAAACAGGGGTGTTTATATATGGTCAGTTTCCACACTAACAGCACAGCTTGGAGGGTGAACACTTAAAGTTTTGCTCCCCTATGTTGAATCAACATAGGGCAAAAATATATTTGGCACCAGCAGGTAAGTAGCAGAGCTGAGGCTCTGTAGTTCTAGGTATTTAAGGTACACACACAAAGAGAACAGGCAACTCCTGACAGTATAACCAATTTTTTTGGAATAAAGGAAACAAAAAAACATTTAATTGATGGCTGAAGATCAAGATGCAAGAGTGAATAAATTTATTTATTCTCCAGGCTGATAAAAGGATAAACTTCCAAGGGCCGCCTTTCAAGCTAGGATTTCCCTCTCTAAGGAAAGAGCAAAGCAGCAAAGTAAAATAATTACCTTCTCTGGCCAGATTCCCAGGTGGAAGTAGAGCCTGGCTTGAAGGAGGAGGAGTTGCACCTGGTCTGGATACATTGCCAGATATAGATCCAACGAGTCTCTCAGGAGCTGGTAGGACTGGTCGATACCTTCCCTAGCAGGGGAAATAAATCATTGTCTTACTCAGCTTGCCCCTGAGTGGGAGACCCTCTTTTCCAAGGCTCAGGTTTTAAAAGTAATGGACACAAATGCCACACCTTTTCTGATCCTGGTACTTCCTCTCTGTTAAGCAAGCAGTTATAATGATCTTAATAATAATAAATCCCAGAAGAAATAGAACTTTTGCAACTCACTTTGGTGGTAGGCATTAAATTAAAATCATAGGCACTTCCATTATAGAGTCCCTCAATAACACGGTTATAATTAAAAATAAATTCTGACTAGGTGGGGCACTGACGACTTTTAGGAAAGGAAAACTGTTCTGTAGGACACTGCAGTGGTTACAGGACACACATCCTAGGACACACATTGTTACAAGTTTACCCAAACCTACAGAATGCACATCAGCAAGATTGAAGCTGAATGTAGTAAACCATGGATTTTGTTAAGGTCAAGTTTGTGGAGATTCATCGATCAGAACTAACATCCCACTCTGATAGGGGGCGGTGATAGTGGGGGAGCCTGTAGAGGGAGGGAAGGGTGGGGGCGGGGTATAGGAGAACTCTCTGTACTTTCTCCTCCATTTTGTCATGACTCTCAGATTGCTCTAAAAAACAAAGTCTATTTAAAAATAAATAAAGAGGGCAGCCCCGGTGGCTCAGTGGTTTAGCACTGCCTTTAGTCCGGGCTGTGACCCTGGAGACCCAGGATCGAGTCCCACGTCAGGCTCCCTGCATGGAGCCTGCTTCTCCCTCTGCCTGTGTCTCTGCCTCCGTGTGTGTGTGTGGTGTGTGTGTGTGTGTGTGTGTGTGTCTCTCTCATGAATAAATAAATAAAATCTTTTTTTTTTAAAATAAAATCTTAAAAAAAAAAAAAGAAATAAAGAATTCTACCATAAGGCAGAAAACTATGACTACAACGTATGACCTTCTATTTTCCCTGTAAGACAAATTTCCTTTGAATCAGAAGCAAAATAGTTTCATACTTTTGTTTTCTTATCTAAGTGATAGAAATGTATCAAGAGATGACAAAGCACTTGGGACATGAGAATACCCTGCCCCCCCCCCCAAATAAACTTTACCCATCTAAAGCATTCTTGTTACTAAAGAATGCTTTCAATTTATGGACAGCTTGTGCCATTGCACTGCAAAGGTGCCAAAGAAAAGTCACTTAAAACAGCTTAAACCGGGACAGCATGAGTTTCTTTCAGTGGTGGGTCGACAGCTGTAGATATCCCAACTGCATGCCACAGCAGCCCAAGCAGAGAGATTCATCGAACCATATCCTCTGTAAGGCCATCTGCACCTCCAAAGACATGCACTCTGCACAAGTGCTGGAAAACCAAGAAAACCTTACCGCTTTCCTAGGCTTAAAAGGTTTCCCACCATTCGCTGCAACACCTTCTTGACATTGACCACTCCATACAGTGCAGCTGTCACGTGCTGACCGATCAAGTATTCACACTCCTTCACAGTCAGCTGCTTTCCCTTCCCGAAGGCATCTATGTAGATGTAGTCAAAGATGTCCAGGCTTGCCCTATGCAAACGGCACATGTAGTTAGCCGATTCCTGGATCAGCGCTGAACAAGCCAATATCTAACTGCCCATACCCCCGCACCAATAAGTAGCTCAAATTAGAGACTTGAATATTAAAACCAGCAATATTTCTACTTACAATATTAAGGCATTGTCTAAAGTTCAAAATGTGACCCTTTATACACGCCCTGCTGTGTTAAGACTGCAGAAGACGGGTATTTAGGGAACAGCACCAATGTGTGCCATCAAATACAGCTTTGGGGGGAGATTAAGCCAGATTAAACCAAGTTGAAAAGAGAAGAAACTAGAATTTATTGAACTGGTCTACAAAATGCTCAATCAGAAGTTTGGCTGAGGGACGCCTGGGTGGCTCAGTGGTTGAGCGTCTGCCTTTCTGCCTTTGGCTCAGGGTGTGATCCTGGAGTCCTGGGATCAAGTCCCACATCGGGCTCCCTGCATGGAGCCTGCTTCTCTTTCTGCCTGTGTCTCTGCCTCTCTCTCTCTCTGTCTCTCATGAATAAATAAATAAAATCTTTAAAAAAAAAAAAAAAGAAGTTTGGCTGAGAGCAATACTGACAGGCCTTGAAGCCCTCTCTGGACTCCACAGATTGGCACAATGTCTGTAGGCCCAGGGCCCCTGAGGCTGAGACAGTTACGGAGCCCTGCCCCATAAGTGCTTTGCTCCCAACTCTGCGGACATGCTCAGGGGTCACTCAGGGCTCAGCCTGGGAACCTGAGCCACACCAGGAAGAAGAATTCCTGCACTTGACCATGCCACCCCTCCCGTGAACCGTGCTCTCGTATATGGTGATGTTCCGTGCTGAGTGGGAGGAGGCACACAAAGCAAGTCCTCACCGGTTTGAAGAACATATTCTGAGGACTCCTGAGGGATTTAGGTGGGTCTTTGTTTCAGGGATAGTTGGTTTTTATTTTTTTTCTTGAGCACCTGTTCCACTTTGATCTTATGCCTACTGCAAACCATGTAAGAGATTTTCTCTTGGGCTGCTTTATAAAGCCCAGTCAGATTTCTTCCTAGAATCATATTAATATCCTTCCTGTGGCAAGACAGATGGAATGTTCCAGAAACAAGGGATACTCTTCAACTCTTTTTATGAGTCTAGAAGAACCACACGTATACAAATTAATAAGCAAAAATCCTAAATAAAACATGAGCAAATCAAATAACAGCAATGTATTTTTAAAAATACATTAAGATTAATGATTAAGATACATGTACCTCAAAAATAAAAGAACTGAATGTTAAAAAATCTATTCCAGCTAAAAGAGAAAATGATATATCAACAGACACAGAGGGGAGATTTTGGGGAAAAAAAAAGTCTAATGCCTACTTTTTATTTTTATTTAATTATTCTTTTTAATGCCTACTTTTTAATAAAACTTAAGCAAACTAGAAATTTAGAAGGCACTGATAATTCCAGCGGAAGGCAATACCCTAAACATCATGCTTGATGATCAAATTTTAAAGCATTCTACCTACAGTCCTACCCAAGACAAGGCTACCTGCTATCACTGTTTCTACTCAATTTTGTGCAAGAAGACCTAGTTAGCAGAGTAAGTACAAGAAACACAAACAGACAAGGGCTAGAAAGAAAAGAACAAAACTGTCATGATTCATAGGCAATATGATGCTCTGCAGAGAAAACCCAAGAGTTGACAATGAGCTCTAATAATTTATTCAGCAAAGGGATTCGTTATCAAATCTATACCTAAATATCAACCATATCCCTATAAATCATCAATACTTAGTAAATGTAATTTTAAAATTACCATTTACAATAGCAACAAAAATGTAAAGTTCTTAATGAATAAATCTATCAGGAAAGCAATGAACTTCATGAAGAAAACAATAAAATCTTTTTAAAAGGGAACCTGGGTGACTCAATCATTTGAGTGTCTAACTGGTATCGGCTCAGGTCATGGTCTCAGTGTCATGAGATCAAGCCCCGCATCGGGCTCTGTGCTGAGTGTGGAGCCTGCTTAAGATCCTCTCCCTTCCTCTTCCCTCTCTCTACAAGTAAATAAATAAATAAAGTCTTTATAGGGACATTAAAGATAACTCAAATGTGTAGGGAGACATCATATTCACAGGTAGACTCAGTGAAACACTGATGATGTTGCTCACATTCATGTATGAATCCAATCCCAAGTAAGCTCTGGTGCCAACTGATGTCCATATGGGCTTTTGAAGGAACCTAGTAAATGGATTCTAAATCTATAGAACAAAAGGCTAAGAACAGCCAAGGGAATTTTGAAGAACTCAATGGGGGTCTGACTAGCAGGTACTAGTTAATGGTAAAGTTACAGTTAGAAAGACAATATGGTCTTGGTGCAGGGGCAGATCAGAGACCAAAGGCACGGGGAACATGGGTAGAAGTGAGGACTTGGAGAGCCTGCAGCCTGCTTTTGCTTCACAGGCAGATCACCCTCCACTATTCTCAGCAGCTTCCCCTCTTTTCCCAAGGACCCATCCCGGGGCTGTGTTTATTTCTGCCAGATGCCTGGGGTGCTAACAAATTACTCCACCGCTCATTTGCACTGTTAATGTACATTTGCTGTAGCCTAAAAAGGAAAAATGACAGTTACCACACACAACAGTACCCAGCAATAGGTTACTATGGCAAATAATATGGTAACTGGAGTTTTAAATGTTTTATATCACGCAGAGATCCTTGAGGGATTATTACATGGGCATTTAAGAATATTTTTGAGATATTTGGAGAAATTGGTTGGGTTATTTAGGGAGACAGAATGGGCTGAAAAAGCATATTTCCCATTTGCAATAATGGAAAATGGGGGTCTGCTATCCAAAAAGGAAGCTATGCAATATATTTTTAGAAACAACTATGTAAAAAGAAGGGAAGCCCATACATACCATTTAAGGAAGTATATGTGATGAATTATAATAATGTGCATGCAAATAACAAAAACTTTCAGATAACTGATGGGTATCTCTACAGAGAGAGGAAGAAGGGAATGAGGAAGAATACCCAGGAGGTTCCAACTATATGTGTTTTCTTTCTTTCTTTTTAAAGATTTTATTTATTCATGAGACACAGAGAGAGAGGCGGAGATGTAGGCAGAGGGAGGCACAGGATCCCTATGGGGAGCCAGATGTGGGACTCGATCCCAGGACCCTGGGATCAGGACCTGAGCTGAAGGCAGATGCTCAACCACTGAGCCACCAAGGTGCCCCATTAATCTAGGGGTAGAAATACAGAAATGAGTGGGGTACCTAGATGGGTCAGCTGGTTGAGCACCTGACTCTTGATTTTAGCTTAGGTGATGATCTCAGGTCCTAAGATAGAACCCTGTGACTGGCAGCACAGAGCTGGCTTGAGGTTCTCTCTCTCCCTCTCCTTCTGCCCTCCCCCCCCCCCCGCACATATATTCTTTCTCAAAGAAAGATAGAAAGAAAGAAAGCTATACCTTTCTTCTAAGTATGCTTCACAAATTCTACTAGGTGTGTAAAGCACTGGGTCATCTCAATCCTCCAAACCACTTGAAAACCATGTGTCCCATTTTTCCAGAGTAAAAAACAGACTCAGAGGAAGCTGACATCTGAACCCTGCTGGACTTAAAAGCTCAGGTACTTTCTATTATTCCACTCACTAGAGGGTATCATAGTCATTCAAAGAACAGATATAATTAAATAATGTTGTTTCTTTTTCCTCTAAATGGCACATTTAATAAGAATATAGTTCTGCCTATTTGATGAACTACATCTTTCAGAAAAGCTAAGCTCCAGCTGATAAGAAATTTGCTTTGCACATGAGTGAAGAATGTGACTACTCTGCCCTTTTCCCCACTCTCCCTTCCTCCTCTTCTCTCTGGTGAGGAAGGGGAGAGGGAGAGATTTTATGGAAGACTACAAAGTAAGATTTTCTTTAAGAACTCTTGTATCTAGATGAACTTTATAGATATACTCAGAACATTTCTTCCTAAAACAACAGAATATGCATTCTTTTCAAGTGCACATGGGACATTCTCCAGAACACATCACATACTGGGTCATAAATCAGGCCCCAACAAATATAAAAAGACGGAGATCATACCATGCATCTTTTCTGACCACAACACTCTTGAAACTTGAAGTCAACCATGAGAAAAAATTTGGAAAGACCACAAATACATGGAGGCTAAATAACATATTACCAAACAATGAATGGATCAGCCAGGAAATCAAAAAGAAATTAAAAAATACATGGAAATAAATGAAAATGAAAACACAACTGTCTCAAACCTCTGGGCTGCAGCAAAAGTAGTCCTAGAGAGAAGTATATAACAATACAGGCCTACCTTAAGAAACAGGAAAAATAAGTCAATAAAATCTTTTTTTTTTTTTAAAGATTTATTTATTTATTCATTCAGAGAGAGCGAAGAGAGAGGCAGAGACACAGGCAGAGGGAGAAGCAGGCTCCATGCAGGAAGCCCGATGTGGGACTCGATCTTGGGTCTCCAGGATCACACCCCAGGCTGCAGGCGGCGCTAAACCGCTGCGCCACCAGGGCTGCCCAAGTCAATAAAATCTTAAAAAAACAACAGAACTATGGCCAATATCCCTGATGAACATGGATGCAAAAATTCTCAATAAAATACTAGCAAACTGGGGATCCCTGGGAGGCTCAGTGGTTTAGCGCCTGCCTTTGGCCCAGGGCATGATCCTGGAGTCCCAGGATCGAGTACCAAATCAGGTTTCCTGCATGGAGCCTGCTTCTCCCTCTGCCTGTGTCTCTGCCTCTTTCTCTCTCTGTGTCTCTCGTGAATAAATAAGTAAAATCTTTAAAAAATAAAAATAAAAAATAAAATACTAGCAAACTGAATCCGACAATAATATTAAAAGAATCATTCACCACAATCAAGTGGGATTTATTCCTGGGTTGCAAGGGTGGTTTAATATTTGCAAATCAATCACTCTGACACACCACATTAATAAAAGAACCATATGATCATCTCAATAGAGGCAGAAAAGCATTTGACAAAGTACAACATCCACTCATGATAAAAACACCAACAAAGCAGGTTTAATGGAAACATACCTTAACATAATATAAAGGCCATATACAGAAAACCCACAACTAATATCATACTCACTGGGGAAAACCTGAGAGCTTTTCCTCTATGGTCAGGAATGAGAAGGATGTCCACTCTCACCCGTTAACACAGTACTAGAAGTCCTAGCTACAGCAATCAGACAACAACAACAACAAAAAAATAAAAATAAAAAGCATCCAAACTGGCAAAGACGGGATGCCTGGGTGGCTCAGCGGTTGAGCATCTGCCTTTGGCTCAAGGTGTGATCCCAGAGTCCCAGGACTGAGTTCCACATCAAGCTTCCTGCTTGGAGCCTGCTTCTCCCTTGCCTATGTCTCTGCCTCTCTCTGTGTGTCTCTCATGAATAAATAAATAAATAATCTTAAACAAAACAAAACAAAAAACTGGCAAAGTCAAACTTTTACTGTTTGCAGATGACATGATACACTATGTAGAAAACCCAAAGGATTCCACCAAAAAAAAACTGCAACAGCTGATACATACATGCACTAAAGTCACAGAATAGAAAATCTACGTACAGAATTCTGTTGCGTTTCTATACACCAATAATGAAGCAGCAGAAAGAGAAAATAAGGAATCAATCCCATTTATAATTATACCAAAACCAGTGAGATACTTAGGAATAAACCTAACCAAAGAAGTGAAAAACCTGTACTCTGAAAACTATGAAACACTGAAGAAAGAAACCGAAGAGAACAACAAAAAATGGAAGGCATTGACATTCCATGCTCATGGATTGGAAGAACAAATATTGTTAAAATGCCTATACTACCCAAAGCAATCTACATATTTAATGCAATCCCTACCAAAATACCAACAGCATTTTTCTCAGAGTTGCAACAATATTAAAATTTGTATGGAGCCACAAAAGATCTCGAATAGCCAAAGCAACCTTGAAAAAGAAAAGCAAAGCTGGAGACATCACAATTCTGGACTTCAAGTATATTACAAAGCTGTAGTGATCAAAACAGTATGGCACTGACACAAATATAGACACACAGAACAATGGAACAGAAGAGAAAACCTAGAAATAAACCCATAATTATAAGATCAATTAAACTTTGACAAAGCAGGAAAGAATATTCAGTGGGGAAAAAAAATCTCTTCAACAAATGGTGCTGGGAAAACTGGACAGCAACATGCAACAGTATCAAACTAGACCACTTTCTTACACCATATACAAAAATAAATTCAAGGGCAGCCCCGGTGGCACAGCAGTTTAGCGCCGCCTGCAGCCCAGGGTGTGATCCTGGAGACCCTGGATGGAGTCCCATGTCGGGCTCTCTGCATGGAGCCTGCTTCTCCCTCTGCCTGTGTCTCTGCCTCTCTCTCTCTGTGTCTCTATGAATAAATAAATAAAATCTTAAAAATAAATAAATAAATTAATTAATTAATTAATTCAAAATGGATTAAAAACCTAAAGGTAAGACATGAAACCATTAAAATCCTAGAGAATACAGGCAGTAACCTCTTTGACATCAGCCATAGCAACTTATTTTTAGATATGTATCCTGAGGCAAGGGAGACAAAAGCAAAAATACACTATTAGGATTTCATCAAAATAAGCTTCTGCACAGCAAAGGAAAACAACCAAAACCAAAAGGCAACCTACAGGGGCAGCCCGGCTGGCTCAGCGGTTTAGCGCTGCCTTCTGCCAGGGGCCTGATCTTCGAGACCTGGGATCCAAGTCCCACGTCCAGCTCCCTGCATAGAGCCTGCTTCTCCCTCTGCCTATGTCTCTGCCTCTCTCTCTCTCATGAATAAATAAAATAAAATAAAATAAAATAAAATAAAATAGGCAATCTACAGAATGGAAGATATATGCAAATGACAGATCTGATACAGGGTTAAGATCCAAAACTTATAAAAAATTTATTTTGGTGCCTCACTAGCTCAGTCAGTGAAGTGTGTGACTCTTAATCTTGGGGTTGTGAGTCTGAGCCAAGTACTGGGTACAGAGAGGTTACTTAAAAAAAAATAAGGGTGCCTGGGTGGCTCAGTCAGTTAAGCATCTGCCTTCAGCTCATAATCCTGGGGTCCTGGGATCAAGCCCCATGTCAGGCTCCCGGCTCAGTGGGGAGTTTGCTTTTCCCTCTCACCACTCATTTTCTCTCTCTCAATCACTCTCTCAAATAAATACATAATTTAAAAATAAAATCTTAAAAAAATGAACGTATAAAACTCAACACCCAAAAAACAAATGATTCAGTTAAAACATGGGCAGAAGACAAGAAATGACATTTTCCCAAAGCAGACATCCAGATGGCCAACAGACACATGACAAAATGCTCACTATCACTCACCATTGCAAAAGAAACCTAAAAGGAGCTATCATCTCACACCCATCACAATGGCTAAACTCAGCAACAAAGGAACAACAGGTGTTGGTAAGGATGTGGAAAAAGGGGAACCCTCTTGTACTGTTGGTGGGGATGCAAACTGGTGCAGCCACTGTGGGAAACAGTATGGGGGTTCCTCAAAAAATTAAAAATAGAACTAATCTATATAGGGCAGCCCAGGTGGCTCAGCGGTTTGGCGCCACCTGCAGCCCAGGGTATGATCCTGGAGACTCAGGATCGAGTCCCACATCAGGCTCCCTGCGTGGAGCTTGTTTCTCCCTCTGTCTGTGTCTGTGCTCCTCTCTCTATGTGTCTCATGAATAAATAAATAAAATCTTAAAAAAAAAAAAAAGCCCTAACCATAACCCTAACCCAGCAATTGTATTAGTACAAAATTAGGAGAAAAATACCAATTCATTCAAAGGGATACATGCATCCTGATGTTTGCAGCAGCATTTTCTACCATAGCCAAACTATGGAAACAGCCCAAGTGTCCATCAACAGATAAAAAGAGAAAGAAATGGTATACTTATATACAATGGAATACTACTCAGCCATAAAAAAATGAAATCTTGCCATCTGCAACAATATGGATGGATCTAGAGCATATAATGTTAAGCGACATAAATCAGAGAAAGATAACTACCACATGACTTCACTCATGTGGCATTTAACAAAACAAAAGAGCAAAGTGGGGAAAAAAGGAGAGGCAAATCAAGAAAGAGACTCTTAATTACAGAGCTGATGGTTACCCGAGGGGAGGTGGGTGGGGGATGGTTGAAATAGCTGATGAAGATTAAGGGGTGCCCTTGTGATGAGCGCTAGGTGTACTACTGAAGTGCTAACTCACCTGAAACTAGTATTACACTGTATGTTAACTAACTGGAATTTAAATAAAAACTTAAAAAAAAAAAGCAATTTCCGTAAAACAGAACAAGACAAAAACCTCTTTGATCTGATCTGCTTTGAAATAAGGGGCTTTAAGATCTAACCTAAAACCCTGAACTGCTAGTCCTCTTTATATATACTTACTTTGAGATAACTGTAAATTCACATGCAGTTTTAAGAAACAATACAGAAAGATCCCGAGTGCCCTTCTCCCAGAACCAGAATGCTGACACAGATGGCCAAGGAACAAGACAGTTGCCCCACCACCAGCGCTCTGGTGAACCTCTGTTGGCTACTGCTCTTCCTCTCAGCACCGTAGGAGTGAATCGTGAGGACCAGTCACAACGTGGCATAGGTGGCTCACCCTTCTGCACCTTGGCACCATCTTAACAAGAAGTGACTGGGGAAGTTGACAGGTTCCAGTGGGACCCCCAGCTGCCGGGCAATTGTCAGGTAGAGCAGGGACATGCTGATTGGGATTCCTGTTCTGCGAATCAAAACCTAAAAGAGAAAAAAAAAATCCTTTAGCTTCACAAATAGGAACTATTATTTTCTCATTCCTTCAATGTAAGTTCTTACAGGGCACCCACTGTGCATGAGGAATGGTGCTAGGTTTTTGTGGTTTAAGTGGATGAGCATCTGATTTATTTGATCAGGGGTCTGCAGACTGCAGTCGGTGGGACATATCTAATATCTAGTCCACTACCTGCTTTTGTACAGCCTGCGTGAGAAGAGTTTTTACATTTTTTAGCGTTTAAAAAAATAGTAAAAAAAATAGTCAAAAGAATACTATTTCGTGATACATAAAAATCACGTGAAATTCAAATTTCCACGTCCATATAGGTTTCATTGGAACACTGCCACATTTGTTTGTTTTTGTAACCTGAGCAGTGAGGATACACAGCAAATGGCCTGCAGAGCCAAAACCTGTGGCCCTTTACAGAAAGTTTGCAGACCTGCGATTTAGGCTGTTCTTCCAAAAAGAATTAAAGGCCATTTCAAGGAAAGTGTGTAAAATGTGACAGCAAAAAATTAAAGGTAGCAAACAGGTCAACAGAATAAATATGAAAACGGTGCCAAGGAGGAGGTACAAAAAAACTAAGTATCAATGATATGGCTAGCCAAGTGTCCTCCAACCCTTCTACAGGCCAGTGCAGAAAAAAGACCTGATTAGTTTCAGTTAGTGTTCATAAGATACAAACTGACCAAACCAAGTCAGAGAAACACCTACTTCTATACAGGAAACTATCTCAAGGGTTTTCACAATTCCATAGCAGTATCTTTATAGTAGAGACAGAAATGAGTATCGCTGGGCACTGAGAGATGAAAAGACAACGTATTTGCTCTCAAAAACTATACAATTTTTCAGAAATGAGCTTTAAAAATACATATTATGTTTTAATATACCCACATTTACCTGGTGCATGTATAAGTTTAGGGCATTATAGTAATCCATCCGGTTCCCCTTAAACTTCAGTTGGTCATAAAGGACATAGTTCATGGCATCCAGCACCTGGCTCTGGAGCTCTATTTCCATTATCATGGAAGATTCACCTGAAACACAGAGATCTACTCTGAGGACACAAGCACTCCCAAAGTTGTGACCAATGTATCCCAACAACCCTTAACACACGACATTGGCAGTGCCCCAACAAGACCCAGCAGAAACAAATAATTAATTTAAAGTCTTTCACATTTCCAGGTGAACATGTGGTTGTGTCATTAACTGCTTTTCTGGTGACATACTAGAAACACCCTACAGAATTTCTCAAATTAGCCAATCGCTCTACTAGGTTTTCTTTTCCAAGTACAGCTGGATCCAAAGCAATTCCACACCTGCCTTGAAGGCCAAGCTGGGGTGTCGACTGTTTATGCCTCGAAGGGTTTTGCAAACAAGCTCCACGATGCTGTCAATCTGGGCCTGGATATCTTTGAGGCTGATGTCAGAAAGAGGATTGCAGTACTGGTCAATGTATACAGCACCTGGAAATGAATAGGAATTATTGAAAAAGTTCCTATTTTTATTCTTTTCTTATCAGTTTGTCACTTAGCCCGGGCATCTGGGGCTAAAGTTCTTTGTACCATCCTACCAGATAAACTTCATTCGTGGATGGCAGATATTGCTATTACACAGAGAAGAGCAACACTCTAACAACAAACAAGCTTACACACTTTTTTTTAAATAAACCAAACCCTATCTCAAAGGTCATGGACTCAAAAAAAACAGCATGTTCCCTATTCTATTACAAAGAGAAATAAATGCCATAAAGGACATCTTTCCAATAACTCTGAAAACATAATGGCTAAGACAGTTCCTTTACTAAAAAAAAAAAAAAAAGACTGAACGCCCTCAATGAGAGATTTCTACAAATTATACCCATCAAGGGTTAACAAGTAAGTGAACTCTGGAGATAATTGTACTTTTGAATTAGAGAAACAGTGACACTCAGGGAACCAGCAGCAAAGACGTGTACAAGGTACATTGGAGACAGGGTCTCTGGAAAACTCCTGCTCAGCTCTTTACTGTCTTAGGCCATTTTCTAACCAAATGCCAAAGGGCTAACTTGGTCATTTGGTTAGAAGACATTTTCAGTTGGGAAGCTGTAGTTATGACTTTTTTTTTTTTTTGAGTCATTTTAAATTCAAGAGGTCAGGCTCTTGACTACCTACTCACACTGCAAGGAGTTGGAAGCAGGCATCAAGGGATTTGGACTCAGTTTTACCCCTAGCTAGGGAATGGCTCCTACGCTTTCCTGGGATGGAGTTTCCTCATTTGTTGGCTGAAGGACTTCCCCAAAGTGCATTCCATCCTAATGCTCTGATTCCTAGACTTTGTTAATGCTATTAGATTATTCTTGTCAGTCACCAAGGATCAAAACCCTAGAGCTGACTTCCACTTGCTCAACTACTTAAAAACTTCCAATGGCTACCCAGTGCCCACAGCACTGATTTGCAGGAGTTATTGAAAACCATATTATTACTTAATATTTGGAATGTGAAAAAGAAATGATTGTCTTCATAAATAAACTACAGAAAACAAAGCCTGTCAAATTATTGAACAGAAGATAGGCTGACTCTCCACTCCAGTACCCATAGAATATCCCAGGGTGGTGAGGCTGTTTGATTTTGATCAACTGAAACAGATTTTTCACTTCTTTGTGGATGAGGACACTTTTACACACTCAAGAAGAGTCTATACCAGACACTGTGGAGGACACAGTGATCATAATAATGTACGGACAAGGGACACAAGAAATGTTAATGACCAGCTGGAGAACAAAATGCACACACCTGAAACGGACACTATACAGTGGTTTACTAGTCAATGCTGTTGCATGTATGCCTTCTGAGGTGAGTTAAAACCTGCAAGTGTTGCAATAGTCAGCAAAAACCCAATGGAAGTTAAATTTGAACCAAACTTTCATGGCCAAGTAAGATTTAAGAGGGAATTCTAAGAAAACGGGGATACCACTATTGAAGATATGAAGCCAGGAGGGAAGATGACGACCTGGCTGGAGCAAAGAGGGTGTTTTAGAGAGTAATGGGGAAAGGTCTGGGGTTCAGGGAAAGTCCAGATTATGCAAGGCACTGAACAGCAGGTTAATTAAAACAAAACAAAACAAAACAAACAAAACAAAACAAAAAACCCAGGACATTAGTTGGCCACACAGAGTGGTGAAAAGGCCAAGTTTCAGGCTGAACTGGTGCTAGGTGTCAGCAGTCCTGAGGCTCGAGATTGAAGTGCCACTTTGAAAGTGGCTGCCGGAAGTAGGGGTGACAACCTGCCTGACCACAGAAACAGAATGGGGACATAACCATGCAAACACTGGAAAGGAAGAAAACTGATGAACTGTTAAGTCAGAGGGGTCAGGGAATGAAAATGAAGGAATGGTCATAGCCGTACTTCACAACCACAATTTATGGCAGTGCTTATGTAATATGCTAGGAATTTAAATTTGTTTAAAAAAATGAAGTCACATTTGTTTTTGTCTGACTTAGCAGGCACAAAGTTATTCCCCTCCTCATTTCTGTCCACTCGACTTCTTTCTCACTTCTCATTATGAACAAGCCAACTCACTAACATGAAAGAACACCTCGGTCTCATTAAACTCCGACCAGGAAAGGTAAAGGGATTTGCTGAAGGTCACACGGAGACAAAACTGGACAAATTTATTTGACTTGGAAATGACGCTTCAAAGCTTGGAAAAAGAGAATTCAACCTCATTAGGCTAACTTACTAACCTCGTGCTTTGAACCAATGGTGCTTCTTTCCAAAACACTATCTCTTCAGCTGACAGCCAAACATTCTGGCAAAATCTTAGCTCTAAAGTTTAACAGTTTTGCCTGCCTAAATGATCAGAAACCCACTTTTCCACTGTTCCACCTTCAGGGATGATCTCCCTGCTCTGAGGAACAACTTAGTTGCCTGTCGAAAGATCACTTGTAGAGTCTCACCTTCAAGATACGATTCATAGTCATCAGGCTGCTGAAGAAATGCCTTAAGGTTATTTAAAATTTTCTGTTGGCGTAGGTAGTAAAGAATTTTTTTAGCATAGTATTTCCAGGTCAAAGCTTTTCTGGAAAACAAACAAACACGTCAATGAGCATTAAGATACTAAAGCCTTTGACTACCTTATTTTTTACTTTGAGCTACTCCTAGGATGCAAAGAGCCTAGTTAACAAGAAAAATGTAAGTCGTTCGTGTCCACATAGTACTTTTTATCCCAGAAGCAGACAGCACAATTCAAGACTTTGCATTTAGAAGTAACAGCAAGTCATTCGTACTGAAATCCAAGAAACACTGACCTGTTTGGCTTCATCAGATTTACTAAAAGGAAATCCAAGAGAAAACTGAAGAGCTGGGGTAGCTGGCTGAGGCTCAGAAACCAGAGGTGAAGTGTCTGGAATCCTTTGCTGGCCCCTGGGCACCTGCTTTAGGAAACTCAGGCCTTGGCCTCCTACTTTTCTCCTTCTACGCTCACTGCCATGGTGATCTCATCCCGTCTCATGATTTCAAATATTCTCTCCACTGACAGCCCTCAATTTATTTTCCAGTACTCATTGCTCCTCTAAACTCCAAACCTGTATATCCAACTGCTACTCCACACTCCGACTTGGCTATCTGGTGAATTCCTTAGGAGGGCTTCCCCTCCCACAGTCATCCCCCTCAGGGAAAGGCAACTCTGCCACTGCCATCAGGCCGAAAGCCTTGGCGTTCTTGCCTCCTTGCTGGCTTGCTCTCAGAGGCCACACTCACTCCGTCCACCAGTGCTACTCGTTCTATCTTCAGAGTCCACTGGACATGTGAACACTTCTCACTAACTCATTTAAGCCGCCACCATCTTTTGTCTGTATTATAACAGCATACTAAACGAGTTTCCAGCTTCCAACGCTGCCCTTCTATAGTGTCTCTTCCACACGGTAGCCAGGGTGCTTCAGTTAACATGGTTGAGTCACAGCACAAAAATCCTCTGCCCCAAATTTTCCAGGGGTTTTCCACCTTGCTCAAAGTAAAAGCTGAAGTCCTAAGGATGACCTAAGAGGTTCTTTAAACTCTGGGCCCCTCAGCCCTCTGACCACAATTCCTGCTACTCCCTGCCCCCACTAGGCTCTGGCCACCCTGGCTTCCCTGCTGTTCCTTCATCACACCTGATGGTGCTCACCTTGGGCCTCAGCACTCTCTGCTCCTTGACTGGAACATTCCTTCCCTAGAGATGTGCAATCTGTGCCCTCGTCTCCTTTCAGGTTTTCATTCAAACGTCACTTTTAGTAAGGCCTTCTCTCCTCACCCCAAATACTCTTCCCTGATCAGTATTTGTTTATGGGAATTCCCATCTTCTTATGTAATAAACCATCTTTACTTGGTTAGTGACTATCTCCCCCACTAGAATGGAAGCCCCATGAAGACAAGGCTCTCTGTGTTATTCACTGGTGTATCCTTAGTGCCCAGGATAGCACCTGGCACATAGTAGATGCTCAAATAAATGTTTGCTGAGTGAATGAAATGCTTCACCAGATATTCCAAATGTACACATGGATCATGGGAAACAGGAGGGAGACTGTGATTAGTTTTTCTGTGACTTCGGGGAAATAAAGGACTGTCATTCTCAGTAAATGAAAATCAGCAAGGCTAGGTTCTATCAGCCTTTCAATCTTTGAGTTGTAAAGTATGTCAGTCTAGAAAATTTTATGAAACAAATCAGCAACCTAATGAATTAAGCTTAATGCAGGATTATAAGGCAAACATCCTTGTATCCACCACTCAGGCCAAGAAATGACTTCGCAGATGCCCCAGGAGCCCTCTGGGGCCCTCTCTTCCCATCTACAGCCATCACAACCCATACCTCCATGCTCATCTCTGCCTCACCAAATGTACATCCCTGAGCACTCTACACTAGCCCGTTTTGAGGTCATTCAAGTCTCTTTATCCACAGGATCCCCCTCCATCTTTTCTTTCCCTTGCACTTTGTTGAAGAAACCTGGTTGTGTGACCTGCAGTTTCCCACAGTCTGGAATTTGTTGACTGCATCCACAAGGTATGGGTTCACATGCTCTTCTGTCTTCTGAATTTCCTGTAAATTGGATGTAGATGCTTGGTCAGATTTAGATTCCATTTATTTGGCAAGACTACTTCACAGGTGGTAGTGAAGTCCTTCCATCAGGAGGCAATCATGCCTTAGTTGTCCCTTTTGGTGATGTTAGCAGCCACTTCTCCTCAAAGCCCAGGTCCATTAATTCATTAGAGGTCGCAAAGTGGTGATCCTCTAATTCCACATCCTTTCTTCAGTTATTAGCTAAAGCATTTCTATAATGAATAATTTCCCCTCATCTACTATTGGATTCCCCCAATGGCACAATATCCAGGAACAGCAGGATAAATGCTCCTATCTTTCCTTTTATTGTTTTTCAAAATAATAATAATTTGGATTCTTATTATCCTCCAGAGGTGAACAATTAGTTGTCCCTGAGTATTATTATGAACTACCAGAGCTAAACACAGTTGGGGTGTTGCAACCCATCTCAGTTTATTAACCACACTTCTGTTCAAATCACATCTCTGGTCAATGGAAGAAAGCCTCTCCACATTGGTCCCTGAACACTTAGAACATGAAGTATTATCGCTTACAACATGAAGTATTGGTACTTCTCTTGATATCTGGTTCCAGACTTCCAAGATGCTCCACCCTCGTATTTTTACAATTCCTATATCAGACCTAGAAACAGCCCTTTCCCCAAAACATGGCTTCTTTTGATGGGAAATGGTATATCAAGACTACCATCTGGGTACTAGGGATCATCATTTTCTATTAGGTTGGTTATTGTTTCTAGACCTTTTAAATGGACAAAAATAGTTAAGTCGAGTTTATCTATGTACACACACACACAGCTACATATTTTTAAATGTATTTCAGGAATTCATACTGACACTTCTAAATCAAATTCACAACTGTATAGTTTTTACCATCTTCTATTTTAAATCTTCAATCTTTTCTTCTTCCAGGAATACCTCCCTTCTCCAGGATACCAGAGATGAATTAGAGTATCACCTAGGTACTTGTTTGCTTTATTCCACATCTCTCTCTTTCTCTCATAAACACACACAAAGTCCAGCCACAGAATAACAAGACCAGTATTTTCATCAGCTTGATGAGTACTGAGAACCACTAAATATTTTGGTTATATTCTCCCCTATTCTCTACTCATTTAAGCAACCGTACTAGATCTATACTGATAAGGCTTATGGCCATTACATACAATACTTTCTACCCTATTAACTGTCACTTGGACTTAATTCTACAAGTAAATACATATTTAATGCTCACCGCTAGTCCTTGTGTCATTGTCTCTGGTTGTTCTGGTTGTTTGAAGCTCATTTTCTAGCACATTTCTCATGAAGGGCTCAAAAGTCCCCAAGTCCTTACACGTTGGTAAGTTTGTCTGCAGCCTTTACACTTGGAAGTCAGTTTAGCTGGATATAAAAATCCTTGGCTGACATTTCTGATCCTTGAGCATCTTAAATATGTTACTTTTTTCCTCTGACACAGCAACTGTTGAAAAGTCTGATGGTATTCTGATTTTCTTAACCTTATAAATGACTTCATCTTTTTTGTTCAGATGCCCAAAAGACTTTTCTGTCTTTAAAATCCAGTAGGTTTACTGAAACATGTCTCAGTGAGGGTCACCTTGGGTCATTTTCTCAAGTAGACCATATGTCATTTTCAACATGAACTTTATTGTACTTTGAATACAATATTGAACTTTATTAACTGTTTATTTATTGTTTCAAATCTTTATTGCAAATGTACTCTCTTTAAAGATCACACAGAACACCATAAATACAAGATGTTTTCACATATCCAGAGATTGGTGCTTCAGCATTTACAGAAAATTATCCTTCCTTCCTATGATTTCCGTATTTGCCCAATAAGCATTTGCTAGGAATGAATATGAACAGGGTCCTTCAAGAACACTGGCATCCCAAAATATTTTCAAATGTGAGAGTATTCCCTGTCATTTAAAAATAACATTGTTTTAGGCTCAAAATACATGTCAGGTCCAGAAGTGACATATCTATGACCTTCACTTCTAAAATGACTGTAATGGTGTACTTTTTAACTGGCTGAGCATATTTAGTCATGTTTGCCAATTTGCTACATTAAAAAAAATCAGTATTTTGTTGTTATTTAACATTTCTTTGCAGAATGAATTTAAAGATATAGACAAGATTCTAAGCCCCTTCACTTTGCTCTTCTGTGAATGTCCTCCTCTGTATCTTTTTCAATTTCTTCTTAGAAATTTAAAAAAATTCAAAAAAAAAAAAAAGAAAAGAAATTTAAAAAATTATGTTGATATTCTTTACAGTTTCTTTGGTCATAAGGAAGTTTATTTTTCATCGCAAAACCCTCTGTCTGTATTCTTGCATTGCTTTTCTATTATTAGTTAAGTAGGTCTCCCTAGATTGGACACAGTCTGCTATTTTATTGAGGGATTTTCATTGTGATAATTTTAAAATCTGGGTTATTTAATCTTTTGGAACTTAATTTTTGTATATGATTCAAGTTTTACTTTCTTCCAGATGAATATTCAGTTATTTCCAATATCATTAAATATGCCATCTTTTCCTTCTGAATTTTAATATAGTATCCTGTTTCTGAATTATTCTTTGCCACTTATGTAGCTCTCAACTTTCATTTAAGCATTACATTGTTTCAAATATTGTTAGCTTCATCTATGTCCTATTATCTAATGATTCAAGTTTTACAGTGTGATTACTTAAAAATTGTTTTTTTCTAGTTCTAGTGAATTAATTCTTGACATATTTTATGACAGTATCATCCAATTAAAAGACACAAAAAACCCTCCTGTCCCAAAATTTTTTTTGGATTCTAATTGGAATGGTACTAGGGTTATGTGTTAATTTTAGAAGAACTGACATTTTTGTGATGGTAAGTCTCCCCACTCAAGGACACACTATCTTTTATGTTTTTCAATAACATTCAATATAGTCTGACCTCGGACATTCATTCCTAGGAACCTATTACTTAGAAATGAAACTACAAAAAAACATCATCCTCTACAATAACACAAGATGGAGAAGAAAATGGTAGCTCATCAACAAATTATAGTTAACTATAATAAATACTGTAAGACAGTATATAGCCATCAACAAAATGAACTTGACTTTTTATCATTAATTCAATTTCCAAAGGTAATGGTGAACGAAAAAACAAAAGACACAGAAAAGCACCTATTTTATGATCACAATTCTGTGAAATAAATGATCTCCCTCCATGACCACATGTATGGATATATATCAGCATAGAAGAACACAGGCTAAACTGTCACCATTAATTACAGGGGTAAAGCAAGGAAAGCCAATGCAAACGGAGGGAGTATGGAGGAAGGGAGAAACAGCATAAACAAGAGGAAACAAAGTCTGCACTCAACATCAAACCAAAACTAAAACAACCAATAAACTTAGTATACACGACACTACGTTTATGTATTTGAAAGTATACGCATATATACGTAAAAAAGACAGGTCAGCTTTTATTTTTAAGGCTGCACAATACTGACTATTAGATCATACTTCAATTCATTTATAGATAAACCAAAATAGAAACGGAAAAATGACCTCCGCATCTGAACTCATCCAAGGCCTAGAATAGTGGCACATCTTACCTTTCCCCTACAGTTGTTCCACTGATAGATATTTCTCTCTCTTAAACCCCTTTAAAAACAAGAAAAATCCTACACCTTGTTTTTGAGATATTCCACAATGAGCTCTCTTAAGAAAAGTTGCTAAGCTAGCATTCTTATCTTCCATCATTAATAGTTTCCAAAACTTTTAGAGCAGAAAATCTTCATAGGTATGCTACACTGGAAGCCAAGCCATCTTTTAGGTAAACCGAAAACTAGCCTTCACAGCAGGAAATATGAGCATAAAAAATTTTAAGCAACAAACAAGAGATAATGGATTCTTCTTGATCAGGAGAGATAAAAGAAAGGTTCAACAAGATACCTATAACCTTCATGGCCAAAGTTAAGATTATTTCTTAACGAAATTGAGAAATTGTTAAAAAGAAAAAAAAACAAAATCATTAAGTAAGACATGCCTAAGAAATTAAAAAAAAAAAAATTCAATCCATAACAGACAAATTCGGTGATGACAGGTAGAAAGTGGTTTATATTACTAAATGATATAATAGATACAAGTGCCAAGCATAGTATTTGATCAGTAGTAGGAATAAATACTAATTCTCTTTTCTTTCCAAAAGGATTTCTGCAAGGTTTAAGTGTCAATTGTCTCAGTGTATTTACATTATTTACACAGAATTTTTCAAAACTATAACTATGGCAAGACATGAAATATTTGGAAAACATATCCCAGGGTTCGGCCACATACAAATTACGGCAGTTAATTCTGGGCATTATTATAAGAATGAACAAAAAACCAATCCCTGCTAAAACTATGACTTACCTTCCTTCCATATTTAGGATACACACCAATTCATCCTCAAAAAATATCTCTGGTCCCTCAAGATTCTCAATGTCACTAAAACCGTTACAAGGGACCTATGAAGAAGACATATAGAAACAGGCCTCAATAACACTCTCACACACAAATCTGAGTTGCAAACAGAGATGCTCATGTGCGTGAAAGTGGTAACAGCTGTCCCACACTATCCTGCACCACCCACTATGGGTGGAAAGTAACATGTGGAATAACAATAATTTGTTCCGATCTTACTGTCAGTTGTAAATTAGTGATATTTTCACAGTCTGGAATTCCTGAAAGTGAATACTCCAGCGTTCTAATGTAAAGGAAAATAGCCCTGAAACAGGATTAGAAATACAAAATATCATAATTTACAACAATGATTTCAAGCAATTTATGTTGTACTCAAGTAGGAGTAGAGGGCCAGAAAGAGAAGTCTAGTACTTTGGGCAACTCACTTAACCCACTGGGCCTATTTTCTCCTCTATAAATGGAGGCAGTGGTACCAATGAGCTTTAAAAGTCTATTACTTCTCCCACTTTGTTTTGAAAGTACGCAGGAAATTTCATGTCAACCTGTGTGCATGCAGAGAACACAGGAATATAAGGATCCTGAGCCAAAGTAATCATCCACCCACAGATCAATCTTAAGTATATTCCTGCTATGTTCAAAGTCCTTGACATATTTCTAATTAGGCAGTAGTACAGGGAAAGAGGGAGCTAAGGAAAAAAGACAACAATTCATCATTATTAGACAAACACACAGGCTGTTAAAAATGCACACAAAACCAGCTGGGCTAGAAGTAGAGGTTGCAAACTAGTAGCCCATGAACAAGGGCATCAAATACATCTAGCATCCAAATACATGTGTGTGCAAACACATCTGTACAGGTTTAAAATTTGATATGAATGCTTTTGGCCAGGGCATGGCTTACCTAGAATAGAACATAAATTCTGTCCATCCTAATATCAACCAACATTTATTTATAGAAATTACACTGGGGGCTCCTGGGGGGCCCAGTCAGTTAAGTGTCCAACTCTTGATTTCGGCGCAGGTCCTGAGATCAAGTTCTGCTTCTGGTTCTGCGCTCAGTGCCCAGCTGGCCTGCCATCCCCTCCCGACACCCTCCACTTGCTCTGACTCTAGCTCCTGCTCTCTAATAAAGAAATAAAATCAAAAAAAGAAATGAATTACACTGGAGGATATCTAGCTTTATTTTCTACAGGGGAATAAGTTCAAATTTGTCCAAAGTTCAGATTTTCCTTTTCAAAACTTGAAGCGCCTTGAAAATGTTTCTCATGTGTGAATCCATGAAATAACATTAATTAAAGTTAGAAAACAGGAAATTAATCTGGGTGCCCTGCTAGCTCAGTGAGGACGACATGCAATTCTTGATCTCAGGGTTGTTAAGTCCAAGCCCCATACTGAGTGCAGAGATTACTTAAAAAATAAAATCCTAAAAAATAGAGAAAGAAAGAAAGAAAAGAGGAAGTAATCTTCAGTAAACCAGGATAGTAAAATAAATCAGGGGCGCCTGGCTGGCTCACTCAGTAGAGCATGTGACTCTTGATCTCAGGGTCCTGAGTCCAAGCCCCACACTGGGCATACAGTTTACTCAAAACAAAACAAACCTCAAACCCAATAAATGAATAAATCAGACTGGCTCCACTTCTAGACCCTCAATCAGAAATAAATTTAAAATACTAGTGTGAACTACTTCCCAGAATTACAAAAAGTTAAGACTCACGACCTAATACAGAAACTCCTGAGATACTTTGTGGGAAAACAAAAGCAACAACAAAAACCCAGGCGTTTCAGCAATATTTTTAAGAACCACAAAAACTTTCCAGGGTTAAAGAATACTAGATAATTTAACAGAGGGAGTAAGAATTCTTATTTACAACAGACAGCTTCCAGTTCTGTTATCTTAAGAAATAATGCTATTCACTACTGGTTTAGAACCTGCAAAGCCAGAGAGAAGAAAAAAAAAAAAAAAAAACAAAACAAAACCGAGTTTCGTCAACCCTTCTGGGAAAACAACTGGGTGAAATCTGTAGTGTTCCATCCCTGGTGATCCCTGAGCTCAAGCGGAGGCTGTAAAAAAGATGTTTAACCTCCTCAGAAGAGACATAATGCTGATCCCCTCTACACTGTGCTGTGGGTCCCTCCCTCCCTCTCCACCCCCATTCTCTCTCTCCGGCTTTAGAAAAAGTAAAGCTGGCAGGGACAAATGGCTTCGTGTTGCTGGAGAGGAGGACACAATGACTCTTACGGCCATCTAAGTGAGTCAGGGATTGGGAGAGAACTGAAAAAGGGCTATCAGAAGGAGCTGGATGAGCTAATGCCTACGGGCCCGGACACACACACGCACACGCACACTCGCACACGCACACACACACACACACACACCCGGCTACCAGGCAAGAGAGGGGGGCGGGCGGGGCGGGGGCTACATCAACAGATCCTTACGTGCTCTGAAAAGAACCTCTTTGAGAATGAGGCTACAATCTTCCGGGCTTCTAACCCAGCTTTTTGCCGAACTTTATACTCCTCCAGCCAATTGACGTAGTCGGTGGGGCTGTAGTGTTTCATAAGGGAAGGCCACCTACGAGGAGAGAAACACCCTCTCAGCTTCACGGAGACACTGAAGGCGGCCTTGACAAACAGGGGCAGCGGGGGCCCCGGCGGGGGACCCAGCACGCAGCTCGCGGCGTGACCTTGGGGGAAGCAGGCAGAGGAATGCGGGGTCTCCACTGCCCATCCAGGAAATGGGGGCAGCTGCAGCAACAATAACAGTGACGACCGCTCGCGCCTCCCGAGAGCCGGGCCCTGTGTCAACGCTCCTTACGCATCATCCCTGTAATGACCGCGGGGAAACACGGGTCTGGCGATCCCCGCGTAACGTCGACGAACGAGGCTCAAAAGAAAGGGAAGTGGCCACCCCCCCCCCAAGGTCATCCGGCGAGTGTGCGGGAGCCAGATCTACCCCGGGTCCCACCCCGAGGTCCGTGCTGCGGGCCCGCGGCCGGGGATGCTGCGTCCGCCTCCCCGGCTGCGGCGAGGACCGCGGCGGCGCGGGATCCGAGTGGGCGCGCTAGCCCGGGGCCGGGCACAAAGGAGCGCGCAGGGCGGCCCGGCGGCGGTCCCCGCGGCGTCGCGGTGCACGGCGGGCCCGGGCCGCGCAATCCGGGCGGCGGGGGGCGGCGGCGGGCGGCGGCGGCGGCGGCGGCGGCGGCGGGGAGCCCCGGGGCCCGGGGCCGGCGGCCTGGAGGCCTTTGTCTGCCGGCCCGCCGAGGGGGTCCGCGCGGGCGGCGAGGCGGGGGCGGGGGCGCGGGCCGGGCCCGGGGGGGGGGGCGGGGGCGCGGGCGCGGGCGCGGGCGGGGGCGCGGGCGCGGGCGGCGGGCTCACCTCACCCGGAACTGCTCCTTCCACACCTTCCCGCTACTCTGGCACAGCTCGCGCAGCCGCCGGCAGGTGCTGGACACGCGGCCGATGTCGGCGGCCGTCAGCGAGCCGCTGCACAGGATGTACTCCAGCACCTCGCCGGGCAGGTTGACCAGACAGCTGAGGCCCGCCGCCTCGGGCGCGGCCTCCTCCGCCAGCGCCGGCACCACCTCCATCGCGCTGTCGACCGCTGCCGCCGCCATCTTGTCCGCGTACCTGGGCCCGCCGCGCGCGCGCGCCAGGGCGCCCCGCCTCGCCCCGCCCACCCGCCTCGAGGGGCGGGCTCGGGGGTCGCCCCGCCCACCCGCCCCGTGGCCACACCCCCTCGGCCCGGGCCGCGGCTGGCGGCTGGCGGTCAGTGGAGGGAAACGCGTTCTTTTTTTTTTTTTTTTTTTTTTAATTGGAGTTCAATTTGCCAACATATAGCATAACACCCAGCGCTCATCCCGTCAAGGGCCCCCCTCCGTGCCCGTCACCCAGTCACTCCCACCCCCCGCCCTCCTCCCCTTCCACCGCCCCTTGTTCGTTTCCCAGAGTTAGGAGACTTTCATGTTCTGCCTCCCTCTCTGATATTTCCCACTCATTTTCTCTCCTTTCCCCTTTATTCCATTTCACTATTATTCATATTCCCCAAATGAATGAGAACATGCACTGTTTGTCCTTCTCCCACTGACTTACTTCACTCAGCATAGTACCCTCCAGGTCCGTCCACGTCGAAGCAAATGTGGGTCTTTGTCGTTTCTCATGGCTGAGTAATATTCCATCGTATACACAGACCACAGCTTCCTTATCCAGCCGTGTTTCGACGGACGCCGAGGCTCCTTCCACAGTTTGGCTATTGTGGACATTGCTGCTATGAACATCGGGTGCAGGGACAGCCCGGGTGGCTCAGCAGGTAAAGCGCCTGCCTTGGCCCAGGGCGTGATCCCGGAGACCCGGGCTCGAGTCCCACATCAGGCTCCCTGCATGGAGCCTGCTTCTCCCTCTGCCTGTGTCTCTGTGTCTCTCGTGAATAAATAAAATCTTTATTTTTTATCTTTTTTTTAAATAAAATCTTTTTAAAAAATGGGGAGCAGCCCAGGTGGCTCATTGGTTTAGCACCGCCTTCAGCCCAGGGCGTGATCCTGGAGACCCTGGATCGAGTCCCACGTCGGGCTCTCGCATGGAGCCTGCTTCTCCCTCTGCCTGTGTCTCTGCCTCTCTCTCTCTCTCTCTGTTCTCTCACGAATGAATAAATAAGATCTTCAAAAAATAAATAAATAAATAAATAAACATCGGGTGCAGGTGTCCTGGCATTTCAGTGCATCTGTATCTTTGGGGTAAATCCCCAGCAGTGCCATTGCAAACAGTGGTGTGGCTCTGGAAGCTTGCAAACCTGCGATCTTCTTCTTTTCTTTTTTTTTTTAAGCTGTTATTTATTTATTCATGATAGACATAGAGGCAGAGACAGGCAGAGGCAGAAGCAGGCTCCATGCCAGGCGCCCGACGCAGGATTCGATCCCGGGACCCCAGGATGTGCCCTGGGCCAAAGGCAGGCGCCAAACCGCTGAGCCACCCAGGGATCCCCCCCACCCCGAACCCGCGATCTTAACAGAATCCATCTTTCTTGTGCGTCCTCAGCACTTCCTGTGCATGAGCTCAGCGGTCCTTCCCAATATCCCTCTCAGCTTTTATCTCCCCAAATTACAGGTGGGGGAAACTGAGTTTCAGACCGATAAACTTGCTCAGAATCCCGTGATCTAGATGTTAATTCAGAGCTCTTCCCGTCTGCTTGAGTGTGCTCTGAACAAGTGTGTCGTAATAACAGCTAATTTAATATTATTGAGTGGGTGCTGTGCCAAGCATTCTGCATGACCTTTCTCCTCATTCGAGCCTCTGTGATGAATACTGTAATATACCTATTCTACGAATATGGAAAAGAAGGCTCATAAAGGTGGGAATCACTGGCTCAAAGACACAAAAGGTGGTAGAGCCTGGCTTTGAATCCTCAAAGCAGGAATTACCATCCAGGTAATTCAGTACCTGCACCTATAATAATAATTATTATTTAATAGTTTATTTAATGATATTTTTATTATTTAATATGTTTTATTATAATAATATTATTTTTATTATTTAATAAATTTTTAAAAGATTTTATTTATTTCTTCATGAGAGACACAGACATAGGCAGAGGGAGGAGAAGCAGACTCCCTGCAGGAGCCAGATGCGGGACTCAATCCCAGAACTCCAGGATCACACTCTGAGCCAAAGGCAGACACTCAACCGCCAAGCAACTTAGGCATCCCTTATTTAATAATAATTATTATTAACCTGGACCCTGTGCTATGTGCCCTGAGGATACAGATGTGAGTAAGACAGTGTCTTTGCTTTGCAGGAGCTCAAAGTCCAGTTGGGGGGACCCATGGGTGTAGCACAATCTGTTGTCAGTTATGGAGGCTCAGTAAGGCTCCCACCCCAATTTGGAAATGCCCCGAAAATATTGAAGTTGTAAAGGATGGCCTAGAGAGAGGTGCTGATTGCGCAACATTGTGAATGTACTAAATGGCACCAAATGGTTTGTTTTAAAATGTTTAATTTTAGGGCAGCCTGGGTGGCTCAGTGGTTTAGCACTACCTTCAGCCCACAGCTGGATCCTGGAGACCCAGGATTGAGTCCCATGCCGGGCTCCCTGCGTGGAGCCTGCTTTTCCCTCTGCCTGTGCCTCTGCCTCTGTGTGTGTGTGTCTCTCATGAATAAATAAGTAAAATCTTAAAAATCAATCAATCAATAAAATGTTTAATTTTAGGGGCACCCAGCAGGCTCCATTAGAGGAGGGTGCAACTCTTGATCTAGGAGCAGTGAGTTTGAGCCCCATGTTGGGCAGAGAGCTTACTTTTAAAAAATAAAATATTTAATTTTATGTCTTGTGAATTTCACCTCAAATTTGTTCAAAAGTGTGTTACTGTTTGTATTAGTTTGCTAGCACACTGCAAAGCACCACAGACTGGGTGACTTAACAGAAATTAATTTTTCCGCAGATCTAGATGCTAGAAGTCAGAGATCAAGGTGTAGGCAGGTTTAGTTTTTTCTGAGGCCTGTCTCTATGGCTCATGGATGATCATCTCCCTCTGTCCCCACATGGCCTTCCCTCTGTGTGTGTCTATGTCCTAATATGCTCTTAGAAGGACACCCATCCTGTTAGATTAGGGGCCACTGTACTGACTTTGTTTTAATTTAATTACCTCTTTGAAGACTCTGTCTTTATTAATTTTTTAAGTGACTTTATTATTATTTCAAGGTAATCTCTACATGCAACGTGGGCTTGAACTCACAACGCTGAGATCAGGAGTCACATGCTGTACCCACCAAGCCAGCCAGGTACCTCAAAGATACAGCCGTACTCTGAGGTCTTGGTGCTTAGTGCTTCAGCATAGGAACTTGGGAGGTGGGGGACGTGCAGTTGCTGCTGCTACCACTATCATGAAAACAGAAAGGTTTAGAGCAGCCCCTGGAGTATGGCAAATCTGGAACAGAGTCTGGGCCTTCCCTCCTCTAAATCCGGTGGCAGTGTGGGACACTGTTTATCACATCTCTTCTGGAAATGCTGACTCCCATTGGCCTCTGGGGCCCCACCTTCTCCTGGTTCTCCCTCTGGGCTGCCCCCAGCTGGGGAAAGGATGGGGGGGGTACCTTGGGAGCTCAGCCATAACCACCTTCTTTCACTCTCCCACACAGTCTCCAGCTTGAGTGACCATCCAAACTCACTTTAAATGTCTACAACTCTCTCTGCAGCCCAGTTGGGTCCTCTGAGATCTAGATTCACTTAGCTAACTGCTTACCCAACATTCCCCTTGGGTTCCTAAATCTCAGCATGTCCAGGAGAAAACACACCGCTTCCAGCAATTGCACCTTGTTCTCTCCAAATGGTTCCTACCGTAGAGAAGGCTGCCCATCCATCCATTCCCCCAAAACTAGAATTTGTGGCCTCTTTCTCTCTCACCATCTTACATCCAAGTGCCCCATAGAGGTTAACTTCTCCGTGCCTTGGTTTCCTGCTCCCTAAAATGGGGATGACAACAGACCTTCCTATTAAATGTAACAATGCATATAATATATCTCAGTTACTGTTGCTGCTTAACAAATAAACCCAACACTTAGCAATGTAAAACAACCTTGTTTTTGTTCTTGTTCTTTTGCTCTTGACTTTGTGGACCAGAAGGGGAAGAAGGGCTTAGTTGGCCAGCTCTGAACTGGAATGAGGTGGTGGCTTTGGATTCCATGCTCTCAAACACTGCACGTACTTACCTCTGTCAGATCCCACACGGCCTGGAAAGAGGGTTGAGACTTTATTCTTAAATGTGCTGGAAGCACTCTCCATACTCAAACACCCAGAGTTTATGTTCTCTCTGCCTCAGTTTCTCTCTCCCCTCCTTTTCTTTGAGAAAACTCTTTCTTTCATCTTTTTTTTTTTAAGACTTTTATTTATGCATAAGAGACATAGTGAGAGAGAGAGGCAGAGACACAGGCAGAGGGAGAAGCAGGCTCCATGCAGGGAGCCCGACGTGGGACTCGATCCTGGGTCTCCAGGATCAGGCCCTGGGCTGAAGGCGGTGCTAAACCAGCTGAGCCACTGGGGCTGCCCTTTTCTTTTTTCTTTTTTTTTTTTTTAATAAGGAAGCAGTTTTCTTCTCTAAAAGATCTCTCCTGGAGCCCCTGGGTCGCTCAGTGGTTGAGCATCTGCCTTTGGCTCAGGTCATGATCCCAGGGTCCTGGGATCGAGTCCTGCATCAGGCTCCCCACGGGGAGCCTGCTTCTCCTTCTGCCTATGTCTCTGCCTTTCTCTGTGTGTCTCTCATGAATGTATGGATAAGACCTTAAATAAATAAATAAAAGATCTCACCTAATACTTGTGAATCTCTTTTTCTCTGTTTCCTTATCTACAGTCCCTGTCCACGTCCCTAGCATGGCTTCTAAATGTTCCCCTGGCTTTCACCCTGGCCCCAAGAGTGTGAAAATCAGCCCAATGACACTCAGATTTTGTAACCAAAGTTTTCAGTCCATTAGGTTGAAGGCAGACCCCACACCTGCACAGGTGATTGATTAGTTGTTCTTATGAAAAGCTATTATTTTCTTATCAATGCCATCCAGGCCCTTCTTCTTCCAATTTTTTAAAGTATGCTCCATGGCTAGCACCGAGTCCAATGTGGGGCTTGATCTCACAACCCTGAGATCAAGACCTGAGCTGAGATCAAGAGTT